CATAAACGTATTCAGACTAAATAAACAGTACACGTATACGTCTGGGATAGCATCCAAATGTAAAGCCAAATTGGGATAAGGTGGATGGCTCCTGGCATAATATTGCAAGAAAAAAGCAGCCCTCTACCCTAACATCTTCTAATATTATTAAATTTACAATGTAGTATCCATGCGGAATGGATACTCTGTACGACTGACCAATCAAAGTGTTAGATTCCATTGAGCATGCTAAGTATATCTGTTGCAATCAAATAGTGTTTTTGTTTTTTTTGTAGACACTATTGGGAGACCAGTTACCATAGTTAATAGAACACTCTTGGCATCATATTTACTTAATCACATTAACGTAGTTATGGTGTTTGGAGCCCCCCCATGGCACCATCTATTCAGCGTTAAACTGCTCTTGCATGGTTTAAGGTTTAAATGAGGGCCCCAGGGCACCCACAGCCTAGTGTTTCCACATTAGTCTATCAAACAATTAGCAGCAGTATTTGGCTGAGTGTGTTAGCTGACCAACTCCATGTCTCACAGCTGTGCTTCATTTGTATGACTCTGCCTTAACCATCCATCCTGCAGGGGCCGGGCAGCAGGCAGCCATGGCCCCAAACTCAGTGTTAAATCGTTTGAAAATGGTTTAGCACTTAACCGCGATCTGGCGCCATGAGACTCCGGGCACCACAACCACTTCAACAAGACAAAATAGTTATGGTGTCTAGCATGTCCCTTTAAAATCATCTCACGTTGTAGAATCTATACAAAAACATGGGTTATTTCTTTAAATGCACAGCAAAGCGCTGTTATCTCTGGCGCCCAGTGGGTTATGGTAGTATTGCTTATGAGCCAGTGAAACTCAGCTGTCCCAACAGCCATACGATATATAAGAAGCACTCCTGGCTTACAATATAGTTTCTGTCAAACTCTCACCCACAGAAGTATTTTAAAACCTGACCCCATACCCTTCAAAAGGGAGATTCAAAAGCCTTTTCCAGGCCAGAATGTTTCTCCTCAAGTAGGATACTGGCCCCCATCTGCCTAAAAACCCACATCAAATGAGGAATAATAAAATGCTCTGCAGTTGCTACAATGTAGGATCTGTCACAGACACCAGTGGAGTATCCTGTGCTGACATCAATCGAGGTTCCGAAGGAATTTGTGAGTGCTCTAGGATACGCTCGCTCCTGACTGTGATTTAACTTGTCCTGAGCATCGGGGTTTGCCAGGGACTCTGTAAGGCTTCCAAGAACACTTCAAGGAGTGAATGTGCAAAGATTAGCACGTGTATTTGTGGTCAGCCTGCTTGTTATTCCGCAGGCGAAATACACAGAAAGGTTTGTTTTACCTGTTCGTTGGCACGAATTCTGCAACACCTGCAGACTCCATCTTCCTCTGGGTCAATGGAGGGCGGCTACATATTTTGTTTTTGTAACTTGCGGGCTGCATCAGACAGCTGGGTGAAAACCATTTAGGCAGCCATTGCCCTTAACACTTCTACTGTACAGAATTTCACTTCTAGGTTAAAAATAGAATGTTTTACCAGAGCATATAAATTGTGGTCTGCACATGGGCACCATTTATCTGGCAACGACCTTGGGCATGGCTTTAGAAATAGGCGCAAAAGGGATACAATGGTACACATTGTTACAACATAACTGTGTGCTCCGTGCTATAAACCTACATTCTGAGAGCATGTGGTATATCACCATGGATGTCCCGGATCTTAAGTAGAACATGAAGATGCTATTATTATTCTCGCCAATTATATAGCACCAACAGATTCCGTAGCGCTTTCCAATATTATGAGAGGGGGGATTTAACTATAAATAGGACAATTACAAGAAAACTTACAGGACCAATTGGTGTTGCAGTTCATAGCATCTTGAGTACAAGAGAATGCCCCACAGTGGATAGTCTCTAACCCTAAATATTGATATTGGAATTAGCGCTCAGTGATATATTTACCCCTAACCTTTCTCTTGCGCCCTGTTTTTTGTTTTTATGTATACCTCTGACCTTAACTGCAAAAATATTCACTAATATGGATAGATCATTGTATTGAAAAGGACACCCATTTTATCCTGCTGAAATGCTTTTTTTATTATTATTATTATTATTATTATTATTGGAATTTATATAGCGCCAACATATTCCGCAGCGCATTACAACATTATAAAGGGAGACATTTCATAATAAGTGAGACAATTACAAATTTTTACAGGAACAAAAGGTTGATGGTGACCCTGCTCAAACAAGCTTACAATCTAGAGGAGGTGGGGATAAAAAAACAAGAATCGATTGATAATCCAGAAATGCTTATGTATGAATAGAATGCCATCTTCTTTTTATTTTACTAATAGAAATTGGAACTTTCATAAATTAACCTCATATAACATGTCCTGTTACTTTCTGGTTGTTTAGCTGGTTGTGCGGCTAAATACAAAATGCAGGCAATTGCTCAGAGCACCTGCCTTGCAAAGACTTTCATTGAGCTACATTGGGAAGTCTGTGATTGGACAGAAACAGAATGTCTTGGTGGGGTTACACGGGAAGGGCTTATAAAGGCTGCAGACAAGAGCTTTTGCAGGTTGTGTAGAAATATTACCAATGGGGAAAAAAAGTGGTATATCTAATAAATAGTGATTTATTTATTTTTATTTGGGGTGTGGAATGTCCCTTTAAACACTGAACGAAAAGGGTGCAATCATAACACTCTACACCCTTAAGTCGATGTTCTGCTTACACTAAACATTCCCTAGCCCTGCCAATGCAATAAAAAATAAATCGAGTTATAATGACACTTGGCTCTTTTAACTGCAATGAGTTCACACCATTGTGATAGAGATATTAAAGATATAAAATGTATCATTCTAAACATCTCCTTTTCATCTCTCTACTACATGTCAGGGCATGTTAATATTATTATTAATATCCCATCAGCTGACAGTTACTGCCATTGACATTACTTGAATCTGACCAACTTGTGATCCACAATTGACCCTTTCTAGATAAAGCTCTGGATCTAAACCTGGTCTTACACTTTAGGAGTAACTGACACAATAAACAATTAATAGAATGATCTGCTTTTTCATGATTTATTACATTTGACCAGTGCATATTGCTCTGATCTCCTTTACAAAACAAAGCAGCCTTTATATAGTCTCTTCAAATTGTATTTTGGAGGCTCTTCCGTGAATCCAGCACTGTTTCAGCCTCCTGTATCCTCTGATCTGATCATTACACTTTTGGACTTCAAAGCACAGCACCTCATTCTAGTTCTTTTGAAATATGGTACATCTGTGTTTTCCTCAACACAACACCAACTGTGATCAGACACAAGTGTTTCTCTGTTTGGGGGTATATTAATCATCCTAATTAACAAGCTGAGAATTTGAGAAATTACCTAAAGTCAGAGGAAGGTAAGAGGAGCTTATTTGTCATTAAAGAATCCTGTACGTTATAGCTATATATATATATATATATATATATATATATATATATATATATATAGTGATCTGCCACAACATTAATACCACCTGCCTAATATTGTGTAGGTCCCGCTCATGCAGCCAAAACCGCTTTGATGCATCGAGGCATGGACCCCACGAGACCTCTGGCTGTTTGCTGTATCTGCCATCAAGACATTAGCAGCAGATCATTTAAGTCCTGCAGGTTGCAAGGTGGGTCCTCCATGGATTGGAGTTGTTGTTCCAGCACATCCAATTGGATTGAGATCTGGGGAATTTGGAGCCCAAGGCAACACCTGAACTCTGTTATGTTTATCAAAACATTCCTGAACAATTTTTGTAGCGTGGCAGAATGCATTATCCTGCTGAAAGAGACCACTGCCATCAGGGAGCAAGCTTACCATGACAGGGTGTACGTGGTCTGTGACAATCTATAGGTAGGTTTTAAAGTAACATCCACATGAATGCCAGGACCCCAGCAGAACATTGACCAGAGAATAACACTGCCTCTGCCTCCCTGCCTTCTTCCCACAATGCATCCTGCTTCCATTTCTTCCCCTAAATAAACAACGCACACATACTCGGCCATCCAGCTGGTCTTAAAGAAAACATGATGCATCAGACCACACAACCTTTTTCCATTGCTCCATGGTCTAGATCTGATGCTCATGTCCCCATTGAAGGCCCTTTCAGCAGTGGACAGTGGTCATCATGGGCACTCTGACCGGTCTGCAGCTACGCAGTCCCAAATGCAGCAATCTGTGATGCACTGTGTGTTCTGACATCTTTCTATGTTAGCCAGCAATACGTTGTTCAACAATTAGAGCTATAGTAGTTATTCTGTGTGATCAAAGTAGACAAACTAGCATTCACTCCCATGTGCATCAGCAAGCATTGGGCACCCATAACCCTGATGTTGGCTTATCAGTTGTCCATTCACTTTTGGTAGGTACTAACCAATACATATTGGGATCACCCCACAAGACTTGCCGTTTTGAAGATGCTCCGACCCAGTTGTCGAGCCATCACTATTTGTCCGTTGTCAAACTCACATCTTTTCGCTTGCCTATTTTTCCTGCTTCCAACACATGATATTCAAGAACTGACTGTTCACTTGCTGCCAAATATATCCCACCCCTTGACAGGTGCCATTGTAACAATATAATCAATGTTATTCACTTCACCTGTTAGAGGTTTTAATGTTGTGACTGATCAGTGTAAATATATACCTGGGTAGCTGTGCCCTCCTCCTTATTGTTCTTGCTAGATTCAGAAATTGCCTAGGTGCAGACAAAGAAAGGGGTGCACTCTCAGGTCTCAGGTTTTATTTTAGTAACACGAATAATGTCACATGCCAATACTCAACGTTTCGACCTCCAGGGTCTTTTTTAAGATTAAACAAATTATTAAACATGTTTGTTCAATCTTGATAAAGACCCTGGTGGTTGAAACATTGATAATTGGCATATGACATTATTCGTGTTACTTAGATAAACCAGCTATTCACTTGAGTGTGCATCCTTTTCTTTGAAAATATAAATATGTGTAGTAGAATCTTTATAATATATATAGATTTTTTATGCATTATTTACATTTTATATAGCTACATTCTTCATCTACACTTCCAGGGCTAACATCCGAAACACTCCTGCACCCTCACCTCTTTTTACTGGTCCTCTTTCATTTGCTCTTCGCCCCCTGTCTACATCCTCTCCCTAATTTGATGATGTTTAACAATTCTTATCGTCTTTGCCTCTCTTTCCGACTGTTATATCCAAATTCCAGGGAATGCCTAGGTTTAAGTTTCACAAACGAATCTAATCTACATGCCTGGTCCATTAACCCCTTAAGGACCAAACTTCTGGAATAAAAGGGAATCATGACATGTCACACATGTCATGTGTGCTTAAGGGGTTAAAGAAGATAAACAGCAGTGGTCATTCAGATGTTGGCAAACTAAGGCCTCAATTTAAGCTTTTCAAATTATTTATTTTAGAAATATTAAGATATAAAATAGCTTACTCAAAAACATTAAAGCAACGCTTAAGTCATACATTCAAACCTGTCCTATGATTCTAAAGAAAATATTACTGACAGCTAGACATGTGTAATTCAGACATTCGGATGCTTATGGATGTCCGAAGTTCGAATTGCCGAATTGAAAAAGGTTTAGGGGTAGGGTCCGAATTACCGAAGTTCTGAATTGCTGAAGTTTCGAATGGCCGAAGTTCCGAACCGAATGCCATTGGTCCGAATGGCTAAAGTTCCGAACCGAACTGAATGCCATTGGTCTGAATGGCCGAAGTTCCGAACCGAACCGAATGCCATTGGTCCGAAATGCTGAAGCAGATAAATGTTGTTCCGGACCAAACCAAATTTTTTGCCCATGCACATCCCTACTGACAGCAACAGTCTTTTTTTATTTGAATGATGGGAGTTGCAGTCCTGAAAGGTCCCTACATTCACCTACATCTGTGTGTCATCTGAAACTGTCACCCGACACTCACCTAGAAAAATAAAAAAATTACTATATAAACATGTTGAAGAGCATTAATTCACTATGAAACACACCATATATGTCAGTGAAAGGGATTCTATACTGTTATAAGTACAAGTCTGTAATCCTAACACTATAGAGTTCTCTGATCCCTCCCTACCTCATGGCCCATTACTTCCGGCATGTGAAGGGTTAAAAAAAAACCTTTAGTTGGGAGGCGTGGCCGACAAAGTAACTGACCAGACGTCTCTTTGCTGGGCTCCGTAAAGGTCTACCAGAAAATAGAATAGAGAAGCAACTTACCCCAGTCCTTGGAGCAAGTCACTAACCACATCCACAGCCAGAAACTATGAGGCTCCTCGCATGCCAGACATATGGCTCTCATTTGAGAGACCAGTACAGCCATGGCAATCCAAGATGGCGCCAGAGGCCCAATGCGAATCCGAGGCATCTGAAGCTTCCCAAGAGGACGAAGAACCCCTTGCCTCGCCGAGATCCGGAGATACCTACCCCACATCTGAGTAGGAGGATGACTGCACACCATCAACTAAAGGAGACATCAGAAAACTCCTTGTGGACCTACGGCAGGTGGTCCAGTCTGAAATTGGGGTGGTTCACAGGAAAGTTAGGGAGGTCTCCAGAAAGAGAGGTCTCCAGAGACAAAACTATCCAAGACACCAACAGTCGGATAGAGGATCTTACCTTGCAGGTACAGAAGCTGACCTGTCCTAGTACCATGATTGAGATGCGCCATAGGTGTCGGAATATATGCCTCCGAGGCATCTGAGACAGTAGGGGGCGAAGTGCTTCTGCACTATGTGCACAAGCTCCTGTCCTCTATAGGTCTGAACAGAGGCCTTGATCCTTCCCAGATCACCTCAACGTTCCGAGTGCGCAAGTCAGCTGTGGCACCAGAGAGAGCACAAAGACACACCATTGCCATAACCCAGGACGTGGCTATAAGGTCAGAGATCATGAACCGCTCGCGGGCAATGGGGACGATACGTCATGAGGGCCACACAGTGGCTATATATGCCGATATCCCATTCACAGTCCTCATGGAAAAAAGGAGATTGGCACCAATAGCCAGAAGGCTCAGAGACAGCTCAGTTAAGTACCGCTGGGAAATGGAGGGTTGCCTTATGGTGGACAGGGGTGCGAGAGCCTTATGCTGACATCGTCAGGCGACCCAGAGAATTTCCTGAGCAACCTGGGACTGTCAAGCACCATATCGGCAGAGACCTCCACATCATCACTCCAAAGACGCAAGACCGAAGACAACACTAAACACAGATCCAATAAGGCACAGAGGGGTGCTAGCCAATAACAGAGTCCCACATCCAAATATGTTGACCTCATACACTTCATGCTGATCACACAGCGCTCCAAAACACGAGCACTATGACTGTGATTAGTTATATTACCTGCTAATTTAGCACGTTTAATTTTAATTTGAGTGTGTTTCCTTAAGTTCAGTATGTTTCCTTTCACCCTTTCTCCCTATAAAGTGGGCACCGTCAGAATGCCAAAGCAAATGGGACTTAGGGATACACAACCAGCAGCTATACATATGTTGTTGTTTAGAGCCTGACAGGCCACATCCTACCTTTGTATCTCAGGCCCTTGTGAATAGTTGGTTTCCATACTAATATATTTATTTTATTGTCACTATCGTAACGCGCATGCACATTATACTGCTATTTACCTTAGAAAATACCAGACCGCATGGGCCAAGCAGTCTAGTTTATCACTCCAAACCCCACACCCCCTCCCAGCACCCCCTTCTGGGTTGGGGTCGAAAATAGTTGGCTACACAGTTGGTTAACTGTACCCCACTAACCATGCCCTGGCACTTAGAGCAGCAGTTCACCCATTAGCCTCAACAAGCGGAGGGCCATTTGGGGAAGCCGCACCTGTATAGAATAATGCACACAACAGCACGCTATTAGAAAGCTTCGCCCTTCACTCTATATGCCCACATACCAACAGACACGCTGCACAAGGGTGCAGGGAGTCACTCCATCACTAAGTTTTGCTTGTATCGCTCAAATACATTACGAGACAGAACTAGCTTGACACCAAAAGCTTATGTTTAAATAAGAATGTACAGTTTATTAGCTAGACTTTCATATTAAAAAAAAGTGTAGTGTTTTCTAATAGAATGTTTTATTGCTATGTCTTGCAACAAAGGTTTTTCAGTACAACCTACCATATACATGTGTGTACATGGTTCTTATGCACTACCAAAATAAAGAATAAAAAAAAACAAAAAACCTTTAGTCACTTACCAGATCCTAGGTCGGTGCTCCGCCTCCTTCGTGGTCATCCAAATCGCGTGGGCGGCGAGTGATGTGAGCACATTAGGCCCTCCTCGTAGGAAAGCATTGCTTCAATGCTTTCCTATAGGGATTTCTCTGACGCTGGAGGTCCAAAAGTCCGTTAACAATCAGGAAGATCTTTAGTGGCTGTCTGATTGACAGCCGCTAGAGGCAGTCTTAGTCCTGCATGGTAATGCTTGCAGTTTCTAAAAAACTGCAAAGATTTACATAACAGGACTAAGAGGGACAGGAACACTGCACCCAGACCACTTCAGTGAGATGACGTGGTATTATAGAAAAGCCCCTTAAAACTCTCAAATTCAAAATTATATCAGACTGGGATGGTGGAAAAAAATGACACTTTTTGTAATTAATAAAGGGCTGCAAACAGGGGGTTAATTTAGGCCTGTATGTTTTATATTTACATATTTTAGCATTAACTTGTTTAGCGCTGAGAGGCATTCCAAGCATGATCATCTGGTAGTGAAGAAGTTAATTTTCCAGCCAGAATCGCAGACACTCCCTTTGTGAGAATAATAGGCCACAATGCAAAGTAACGGTTTCCTATTTTCGTCTTTGAAGTCGTTTCTAAAACTCCTGGATTGGGGAATGGAACAAATGCACTGGATAATAACATGGGTTTTGGCAAAATTCTGGGGCCAAAATGTTCTAAATCTAAAAACAAAACCTGTCAAGTTTCCCAAAAAAAAAGGAAAAAAAAGTGCTTTAAACATGTTCCCATCCGTGCGGCTGAGGGATTACAGGGTGCGAGAAAGCCCTGCGTGACTTAAAGCCATTAGCTGGGCAACACCGCGTGCTGATTTTGCCATATTGTCATTTCGTTTTGCCAGATGCACCATGCGTTCCTGGACTCGTATCACGTATACATATTAATTGGCAACACATGAAAAGTGCTCCCCTGCAATATGTAGATGCAAATACGGCCAGAGGAAAATTAAGTAATTACTCGCTCTTAGAAACATCAAATGCAATGGCAGATTAGAACCATTCGGCCCATCTAGTCTGCCCAATTTTCTAAATACTTTCATTAGTCCCTGGCCTTATCTTATAGCTAGGATAGCCTTATGCCTATCCCACGCATGCTTAAACTCCTTTACTGTGTTAACCTCTACCACTTCAGCTGGAAGGCTATTCCATGCATCCACTACCCTCTCAGTAAAGTAATACTTCCTGATATTATTTTTAAACATTTGCCCCTCTAATTTAAGACTATGTCCTCTTGTTGTGGTAGTTTTTCTTCTTTTAAATATAGTCTCCTCCTTTACTGTGTTGCTTTTGGAGTCTTTGCATAGCTTGAAACAAAAAACGAAGGTCACAAGTGACTCAATGTGCAGCAGCCAAGGGTAGATATACTTACCTGTATAGCTTTCTTTTGGGCACGCCATCTCGTGCTGACGTGAATTGACAAACGTTAACGCTTGAAGCTCAGTTTTTGTCTTCCTCACATTTTAAAATAAAAACAACGTTTTACACTGCTTTTAGATTGCATTGGAACTTCAATTAAGTCACAACTGCAGCTAATATAAGCTTTTCATAAGCATTATTTGTCTTTATGGAATATTGAAAAAAATCAATAATAAAAAAAAACTCAATAATTGAAGGCCCACAACTTTTGCTTAGCCTCACTTTTCTTGTGTTGTGTGTCAGCATGAGGACTTTACAAACTGAGTAATGATTTTACCAGACCTACAAGGTTATTTGCAGAAGTGTTAAAGCGGGACTTTCCCCCCCCTGGAAAATTGAGTGTTTCATAAAGATAGAATCTTTATGAAATACTCATTTTGACTGTTTTGAAACTTCCCGGAAATTCCAGCACAGTCAAGAGCTATACTGAGGGACTACTTTGTCTTTGTATATTTCCGATGCTTGACTTTCTTAGACACTGAGCGGAGCTACTATGTCAATTCCGACAGCCGTCACCAGCGATGGTTGTAGCTAATTGTCTCTGTCTCTGTCATTCCTGTAGCGAGACTACAGCAGTCAGAACAAGATGGCTGTGCCCACGAGGAACTGGTTCGGATAAGTAAATCTCACCATTACCTGCCCCCTGGCCACCGGACCCCCAGCGGCAATGTCACTGTTGGGGATTTTTGTGAATTCGCCAAAGTCCTCAGACGGAGACAGTGCCGCTTTAATAAAACGGTGGCAAATTTAGGACAAAACATGGGTGGTGTAATCCCCACCTGGGATTCTTGGTGAGATTCTCACTGGAGAAGTAGAAGCAGGATGCCAGGTAACAAAAAAATAAAAACGAAGAAAAAGGTGTATGGCACAATACCAGAAAAAAAGTAGCCAATAGTCCTTAGTGAAAACAAGTAAATTATTTAATTATTTATTAGTACAAGTAAAAACAATCCACAGCGCGTTTTATAGAGACATTGCCCCTCTATGTCTGACAGGAGTCAAATGACTAATATTCCTTAGAAGATTCCAGGCAGGCCAGAAAAATCACAGCCGCAACCACTACCATCATGCTCAGTCTGCTAAGAAAATGAAGAGTTTGAAACCAATCTCAGGCAGTTCATCCAGCACTTCATTAAAAGAGTGCCTCAGAATTGTTCAGTGGCCCCTAGAAGTGATGGACTGACAGACATAAGGCTCTTCAGTTTGCGGTGGACAGTACTGCAATGCACATCACGCTCAGCAAGACAAATGGCAGGCTGGGCATTATGTGTAATATACACCGCTGCCGCTCCAGCTATTATATTACAGATACATTTACAGGAGACAACCAATTGCTTCACCTGTAGTCAAGCAGGTGTCTTGCCATTCCCTTTGGCACGTAAAGGGGTTTATTTACCAAACAATGAATTAATTTCAACATGGAAGCTAGAATATCCACGTCGTGACTATAGATACATCTTGATCTAGTGATACATTTGCCTAAATGTTGACATTACATTTTCGATTCACTGCAGGTTGATGGTTAGCAAATAAGCCCCGATGCGGATATTATTTTTATAACGTGTTCTGGTATAATTGAGAGGTTTATGACTATAAGGAAATAGTGAGGAAGTGAACACGTTTTACTGGGTTGCACAGAGGCTGGATACGGAGCACTAGGAATGTTTCAGTTATTGAAAGTAGGTCAGTTGGCAGCCAGTTCCTCCCTGGATGGGTGACAAACTGGCAGCCAGCTCAGCTCCCAAATAGTGACAGAGGGCAGGTGTGAGGGAAGGAGTTTTTGGCAAGCTACAGCTGGCACGCTTTCAACAGGACAAGAGCAGCCTCTGCTGGTCAAACCTAGTAATGCTTTCAGGAAACTTGCAACGTTGTTTGCAAAATATGTTAATCAATTTGTGGTGAATTTAGGACAAAATATTGCCATTGCCAGTGATAGGAAATATTATAAAACTTGATGGCAGGAGCTCCTTGGAAGCTTGCCTTTTGTCAACCTCAACATTGTCCATGAGACAAATTAGTCCCTACTTTGTCTTTTGATATCTTATGATTGCATTGGTATTCCAGTGAAATTCCACCACAGTAAACATGGGTGTTTTATAAAGATTAATTTATTTATGAAAGACTCAGTAGTGATGATGCTTAGAATTTGCCATTAATACTAATTTCATAAAAATATGGTTAGACATTGTGCTGGCCAGTGCAATTAAAGTAATTCTACAAACACGACAGCCTCTACAGCTTGCTGAAGTGGTTATGGTGCCATGATTGTCCCCTTTTAGTGTAAGTAGTTACACCATGTTAGAATAGTTTGACTTCTTACCTGGGGTCCTCCAAGTGCCACTGTCTGCCACCACTGCAGCCAGGAGCTCTCTTCACTGAACTAAGCTGAGCGCTACAGGCATTAGTTCATTGGCTGAGAGCAGCCATTTAATGCACACAATAAACTAGCCTTGCCATTTCAATTCCTTGCACCATGGCCACTACAGCACACTATAGTGGTTATGGTACTTGGAGTGTCCCTTTAATTACACTGTATCACTTTTAGTATATCATAACATATTCTTAACATAGTTAAAAATAACCATTACAATGATACAATGTAATCAGTTAGTGATAAGGAAATGGTAAATCTTAAATATCTAAAATGGGCTAATTTGGACTAAAATTAGCAATTATTTATTATTAGCATAATAAGTATGTGCAGCACCTTAATTTAGGGTGTCGCCCAGAGAAAATTACCATATAAACTATACTTATATAAAATACTAATTTAAAAAAAAAAAAAAAAAAATGAAAATATATACCTTTTTGCTTTAGTGATGAATACATAGATTTTTTTGAAAACATAACAATCTAACCCAAACTCATTCAAAAGTACCACAGAGACCAAAACTGGGGAAACCGATTACATTTCAGCTCTAAATTAGAGTGACACACTAGGCATCAGTTTCCTTGAGGACCCTCTATCATTGAGTTGGCCATTGACTTAGGGGCTGGAGGTGGAGCATCTGGCAACACCGAGGGAGTATCAGCAGTGACGTACTAAGGGGGGGGCGGAGGGGGCGGTCCGCCCCGGGTGCCAGCAGGGTGGGGGGTGCCTTGGGAGGGGGCGCCGGCCCCCCTATGCTGCAGCCGCCCAAGCTCTCTGTAAGGTTTGTAGAGCTAACAATGTTCGACAGTTAAAGATTGTTCCCGACGGTCTGTTCATTAAATCCGAGCTTTAGTGAAAACTTGGTTTTGTTTAAGCCTGTCCTGGCTGTGAGGACCGTCCGTTAGCAGAACGCATATTGTCTGCAGCTGGGATTTGGCTGTGGAGCTGTATTTGGTATAGAATTCGTGTTGGCAGGAAGTTCCCCCTAAGTGCACCTGCTTGGGGGAACTTTCAGTGTGATTGTCAATAAAGTTGGCAGTCATATTGTCAGTGCAACCGCGTCCTGTAGTCATGTTTGTCCCTGTGATGTAATTGTCTGGCACGTCTATGTCGTTTCTGGAATCACACGAGCAGTGACATCACTCTCCCTGTGTAGTGCCTAATCCACATCCAATTAATATGACCTAACCTCAGCACTAGCTCCTGCAGCATGCAGCTCCGGTGATGTTTAGAATGTGTGGAGCTTTTAGCTGGAACAGTCTATTGGTTTCCATAGTTACTGCTTCACTTTTAGAACAGCAGAATCGCACTTAATTTCCTCCCAGTATTGGGAGTTGACAGATATATCCCTTTGAGATTCCCAGTATTAGGTCCCGAAGAACCTGAGCAGGACCAAATCAGAATGTACCCCTATATGTTTTGCTGCCCTACTTTCTCAAAAATAAGTACATAAAAATAGAAAATTGCTTATTTGATATTCTGCGTTACATAGAGCGCAGACCACGATCTAAGGAACGCACTGGCACAGTCTGGTAAGGCCCTGTGGAATTGTGAAATTTAGGCCAAAAAAGTCGATTTTGAAAAATTCTCAAACTCAGTTATAGTCATCGCTTGACTATTTTAGCCTGAATTCTGTAATTAATTTTTTTGTTTAACCACCATTTGTTGTTCAATGAATATGCCCCAGCTGATTGACCCGTAAAGAACCGCTATATCCATAATTGTTGTGTTTGGCAAACAATTCTCAAGTAACAGGGCTTAAGTTTCCATCTTTCCTCCTCTGAGGGTTGTAATAGCACATCTAAGGTTTCATTTCTGTGTCTTACGGAGAACAAAACACATTTCTTTTGAAGGCCAGTCAAGCTGATATGGAAAAAACTACCTCATCGATTTATCACCTGGAATAAGTTACAGTTTAGAGGTCATGGCTTTAGCTCAGAACAATGGGGACACCCAGTGGTCATTGTGCATATTGCATGCGCATTAATGCCCCAATGCGATATCGACACAAGTAGCAAATATTTGTTTGAAGCGATTCCTCTGAACGAAATTCTTGTTAATCGATACCAGAGTGAATCGATCCCACCTGTAGACTCTACAGGTAGAACAATTTGGAATCCATTTGTTTGACGTTCGCCAGGAATTTTTTTTAGACAAATTGCTGAAAAGTCATTTTTGCACACGTCACAAGTCCCAAGTGCCATTGTTTTCATATGCAGGCTTTGGTTGAATCCTAATTACAAATCACAGAATGGATAGATTTCCACAACACCAATTGGCACAGTACGTAACATTCAGTCACAACAGGAAAGTTCAGCTTAGAAAAGCTATGCATTTAAATTGTCACCATCAAAATGTTGGGTTTTAAATGTTGATTAATGTCGTTTGAGCAATGCTAAAATAATGTTACATCTGGAAAATGTCTGTGTCATTACAGGAAAGTTCATAAGGGTACCTTTTTAAATGCCAACATAAGGGTTAATGTGTATAGCAGTGCTCCTCAACCCTCTCCTCAAGGCACACCTTACAGTTCAGGATTTAGGGATTACCTGGGTGTGTCTAAGGTGTTTAGAAAAAAAAAAACACATAAGAGCAGGCTTCCCCAAACTCCAGCCCTCCAGATGTTGCTGAACTACAACTCCCATGATTCTCAGCCTATTTCATTCATAGAATCATGGGAGTTGTAGTTCAGCAACATCTGGAGGGTCGGAGTTTGGAAAAGCCTGATTTAGAGTCAAAGGTGTTTCTGGGTTTTTTTCAAACACCTTAGACACACTTGGGTAATCCCTAAATCCTGGACTGGTAGGATTTCCTATTAGAGTCCAGCAATATTTGGCATCCTCACATTCCGCATGGAGACGCCAAACGCTCACGATAGGAAATCATTGGGCTAATCCATTTCTATAAGAAAATGCTGGCTGACGCAGTTGTGCAGTAGGCCCCCCTATGCTTCTCTTTTGAGAAGCATTGGATTGGCTGAGATCACCAGTAATGATGATCTCAGCCAGGGGCCGAGCAGTTTCTACAGTAAGACCAGCATGGCGAGAGATTAAATGTAGTAAAATCTAGTTATTTTCATTGGAAGAGGGGCCCTAATTCTACACAAAGGAGAAACAACTCTAATGTTAGAAATACAAGCATAAATAACTAGCAGGACTCTCACAGTGGGAAATAACAGAAATTCAAAGGGAAATAAAAATGAATTTATTAAACCGAGATAGCTGACCTGAAAATATAGCCAGCTGGATTTATTTTCCAGTTTGGGTATTTTGCCCCCAAATTTGGATTCACTTTGCATTTACTACACATTCTAGACAATGCACACTTTAGTGAAAAGCCATGGAAGGGTTAACTTAGTTTTTAAAATAAAATGATTAGAGAATGGCTGGTTTAATTTTGGATGGATTAAGATGTCCGTATTTGCATATGTTCTGCAGCTGACAAACTCAGGGCGTTACTCATGTCTAATGATATTCTGATGCAAATGTCCTACCATGTTGCACGAGCCCAATTCAAATTTGAGGCAACAGAATATACAGACAGGCCTTGAGAATACACATTACACACGGGTTCAGTTTTATGAACATGAGCATGTACCTTATCTGTCATTTGGAAGTAAATGGAATATTCAGATATTGTATTTACAGTTTGGGGAAACAAAAAAGAATGTAATCATACACAGAAATCTGATAAAGTTACATGTATCATGTCAAATGTCACTTTAAGGAGGGAAACATTTTAGACCTGCTCACTTCGCTAGAATAAAAAGCAATTTCTTGCTAAACAAAATGTCCTTGTGGGTAGCTTGATGTGTACCTGCAATAGACCGTTTACATTCTCATGGTGAGCTGTACAGCAGACGGCACAAGCATGGGCGTAGGGATGGGGGGGACAAGGGAGGGAGGGGGAGAGGGGGAGAAAGAGAGAGTGACAAGGGAGGGGGAGAAAGAGAGGACAAGGAGGGGGAGAGGGAGGGGGAGAGAGTGACAAGGAGGGGGAGAGGGAGGGGAGAGGAGGGGAGAGAGACAAGGAGAGGGAGGGGAGAAAGAGGACAGGAGGGGGGGAGAAAGAGGGGAGGGGGAGAAAGAGGACGAGGGAGGGGGAGAAAGAGTGACGAGAGGAGGGGAGAAAGAGGACGAGGAGGGGGGGAGAGAGAAAGAAAGTGACGAGGAGGGGGAGAGAGTGACAAGGAGGGGGAGAAAGTGACGAGGGAGGGGGGGGGAGAAAGTGAGAGAGGGAGGGAGGAGAGAGTGACGAGGGAGGGAGGGGAGAAAGAGTGACGAGGGAGGGGGGGAGAAAGAGACGAGGGAGGGGGGAGGGAGTGAGAGACGGGGAGGGGGAGAGAGTGACGGGAGGGGGAGAGAGGAGGGGGAAAGAGTGACGAGGAGGGGAGAGCGGACGAGGGGAGAGAGTGACGAGGAGGGGAGGAGAGAGTGACGAGGGAGGGGGGGAGGGGGAGAAATACACACACTAAATGCACCCCGTACACACCATCAATGCACCCCTTACAGACGCACACACTGCATCCCGTACATACACAGAAACACACCTTGCAGCCCTTACACATACAAACACAGATTCACACAATGCATTCCTTACACACATATCAGGACATCCCCTACACACTCCACCCCCTGTGAACAAACTCATTGGTGGAACATGGAGGTGGACCCTGGGACCCAGACCTTGAGCTGTGTAAAGGGCGCCCAAAAAATGGAGCTGCTTACCGTTCTCCCAGAACATTGATTTTTGTGACCACAGTTACAAACAGCCTCCAGAGAGCCTGTTCTACACCAGACCAGTGGAGCCAGACTGCAGCCAGAGCCCATCATCATCCTCATCTGGTTGTAAGTAGGCAATCTAGCATATTATTTGTGGCACTAATCTCTAATTTACCTCACATTAAAGAAACACTATAGTCCCCAGAACCACTGCAGCTTAATGTAGTGGTTCTGGTGTCTATAGCATGTCCCTGCAGGCCTTTTAATGTAAACACGGCGGCACTCCAGCACTGGTGTTAGTTAACATGGCAGATCATATGGGTGGGGCATTGTGATGTCACATGGGGGGGGGGGCGGCAAACTTTACTTTTGCCTAGGAATTGTGGTCACCCTCGCAATCTCCCCCTTGGCACATAAAAGGTTAAAGAAAAAAGTCAGCCGCGAGCGCATTAGGCTGTTTCCATATTATATGCATTGATACAAATACAATACATGGGGAAACACATATAGAATAATATACATGTAAAGGATTATAGAATATGTGGGGAAAATGTCTATGAAATTGTTTTCTTATCTGTAACTTAATTTGGTAAATTATTTTTTTAAAAACACAACCAAAATATTCATTTTTGTTTCCAATAACCCCTTCACACTGGCACTTATCTATACATGACAGCCAGGCTATACAACCATACCCCGCAATCTTGTATAAACAATTAGCGTAATTGCAAATTTTGCCATAACTACAGTCAGACAGCTCACAACGGAGCGGCACAGGATGCTGCAACAATGCAAGCCTCTGAAGATGAATACAGAGACCAGCTTTCTGTATCTAACGCTGCAAGCCTGCCTTTCAATAGATCTACACACAAGGCCACCCCTACTTTATTTTCACTAATGCTATTATTTGGGGCCTCATGTCTGAGTTTCGCCTAAGGCCTCGCAAAGTCTAGAGCCGCCCCTGTGGCTGACTATAGTGTCCCTTTAAGATTTTTAATATTATATTTACTTATCCCTATATTTAACAAACACTGATTTGTGAGATGTGAAAAATAACATTTAATATAGAAATCCACACCTTTTTTATTTTGCAACTGGGCGTCTCCATCTTAGCTCTCTGTCAATCTATGTTATAAGCTCCATCCTTAACCCCTGGCAGTCGGCATAGAGAAAACATGCACAGAATTATTTACCAATGTGAGAACTGTTCTAAATTCAATGATAATCCAAACTGAATTTTCAAGTTTTAGCTGAACTGGAAACAAAGCTTACTTTTCAATTCGGTTATTTCGGCCTTAATCCTGAAACTCACTTTGAATTCTCAAACGTTCCCAGTTTAGTAAATAACTGACAGAGAAGAGGATAATTAAACGATGTTTTAATTTCTCCACCTCGTTTGCAATATTTGCCCTGAACTTGCCTTGTCTGTACTGGATTATGCTTTCATTTGTTAAATCTTTAAAATACATTTCAATTAAAACAAAGCATCGCGTGATGAAAGGTTAGCACTAATTATAGGTGATTTTTGAAGTTTTAGTCTATGGTTTAAATTTCACAGAAGTGACATCTCCTGTTTAATTGTTCAAAATCTCCCTCCCATTCATCCTCTAAATCCAGTAATACAAGTTCCCCCATACCACTTCCAGATCCTAATCTGACTCTTGTAGGAAAGAAGAAAGTATAGGAGAGAACTTCAAAGTTGCAAAGAAAGAACCTGTCTTTACACCCAACCGAAATGTATAAAACAATAACAATGGATGCACAGATCAAATAATGCTTTGTTCTATGTCATGGGAACGTAAAGCACTCTATGTCATGGGAACTTAAAATAGTACAATGTAACTTCCCTTATTTTGGACAGCTTTTGTCTTCTATACATTTAGTGCATTTTTTAAAGTGGATGTGGACATTAGAGAAAATTCTGTTATGTCAGAAAAACAAAATGTAAAAAAATATATTGTCTATTATAAGAGCCAGAAAAGCATAATGCACTCTCTTTGATGATCCCCGGTGCTCCATATAGTATAGAAAGTAATAACATCCTGACTGCTTACTATCCTCACCTGTATGAGCTAAATTGTGTTCATTAGATTAATGTTTTGTGTCAAAGTCCAGACAATGTCAGGCAAAAGCACAGAGCACAGACATAAGGATATTATGGAAGTATATCTCAAAGCCAACAAACGGAAGTAACCTAAAGGGACAGTTTGGATGCAACAAGACAAGGATAGTGTGGGACCTAGGCTCAACAACAGCACAGGGATGAAAGATCAAATACAAACTGGTTAGATCAGACTAAAATCAAAATGGATGTTCACAGAATCAGAGGAAGTTTTAGAACAATCAGCTGATGAGGTTAATGTGGTATCCTACTAACAACACTCCTAATTTGGTTAGGGCAGTGGATCATGGGTAAAAACCGCTGGTAATTGTCTCCTGTAGTCCAACGTCTTATGTTATACCAAGTTGGCTGGCCAGGGCACCAGCAACTGTCTCCCCATTTGTTCAACCCTTTGATGCAATTAAAAGATAATTCCTAAATTATCACACGACTGGCAAGGGAGCCAACAGAAATATGTATCAGGTATCTAAAGTTTGCCATTTAACTAATTTCTCTAATTTGCACAATATTTTAGCAGTGATTTGAAACTATCAAGAGGTTTATTCACTGAATTGCAGTGTCCTAAAATCCAACAACAACATTAAAGGGACACTCCAGGCACCCAGACCACTTCTGCCCATTGGAGTAGTCTGGGTGCCAACTTCCACTACTCTTAACCCTGCAAGTGTAATTATTGCAGTTTTTTATAAACTGCAATAATTACCTTGTAGGGTTAACTCCACCTCTAGTGGCTGTCTACTAGACAGCCACTAGTGGGCACTTCCTGGTTTCTAGCACAGGAAACCTGTGCTAGAGCGTCGCTGGACGTCCTCACGCTATGTGAGGACCTCCAGCGTCGCTCATTTCCCCATAGGAAAGCATTGAAATGCATTTTCAATGATTTCCTATGTGGAGCGCTAATGCGCATGCACGGCATTTCTGCGCATGCGCATTAGGTCTCCCCGGCCGGGATCAGTCTCGCACACCGGCTGACGCAATGCAGAGGAGGAGCGGCGGTGGAGGAGGAAGCAGTGACGAGGGACATCGTTGCTGCCTCAGGTAAGTTACTGAAGGGGTTTTCACCCCTTCAGCAACCGGGGATTGGGGGGTGGGAGGGAGAGGGGACCTGCAGTGCCAGGAAAACGGATTGTTTTCCTGGCACTGGAGTTTCCCTTTAACTAAAATTAGTTAAAACCTGTAACAGCATTGGCTATTTAAGCCTCAGTTTGCAATTCAGATCTTCATTTATAGTTTACGTTTTTTTTTACTTAAGTGTGAATTTTCAGGAATTTGAAATGAATTTCCAATTTTTGGCCAAAATAGCAGAACTGTAAAAACCTTTTAAGTCAGCTGTCTTTACAATTGATCTATTTTTGTCTAAAACTTTAAATTTTTAAGAATTCACACTCTAGTAAACAACCTTTTGCGCTCCTATGTATTTGGCATAAATTGCCCAGGGGTGGATCTGGGGAGTCAACTGGGCAGGTGTCCTTGAGATAGCTCCAGCAGGTGCCAAGAAAATATATAAAAACATTTATATCTTCTTCCACCTATGTACTTTAGTAGCGTGGCCAAGCAGCATTGAAATGACAGTCCTGAGATCAGTCATGCTATCTCAGGACACTGCACTGGGGCACCGGCTGCGAAAAGTGATTTTTTTAAGGTTACTTTTTGGTTTTTTTTGTCAGTGGCCCACCCAAATTCCAATCCCGGATCCGCCCGTAAAATCGCCTAAATGTTATGTAGATGATGTGCATTAGGGTGAGTATGATACATGTAGATGTTATGTATTAGTGCGAGTATGATAGATACGAACAGATATACAAACATACACGAAATATGCTGAATTCACAAGACTCCATATTTTGAATTAAGCAATACACAGTTCATTCCCCACACACTTTTCTCTTTATTTGGTCCAACTTCTCTTTTCGGATATGATTTCCCTGTGTGTACAATTTGACACAGACCTATTGCTAAAGACATATGTTATACAATTCATCCCTTTTAATAAAAAAACAAATAGAGGCAAACAAGAATAAAAAAATATATAAATAAAATCTAAAACGCATTGATACTTGGTACCACTGCAACAGTGAGGACTATAGTCACTGGTTTAAAAGAAACAAGGGATTCACTATCAATCTCGATTGTCGACGTGCAATAAATTTAGGGAGTTTTGAGTACACTATACTGGGATCTCTGAATCTGTATATTTACATGCGTTCATATAAGCTCCAAAGTAGTTGCCTTTTATCGTCCTGATGCATGAAATTCCAGATTTTCCACATTTGCGAAAAAGATAAAACATTCCATATCTTCTGAAGGCCGAAAGGAAACTTGGAGAGATATTTTGTATCAAAGTTTGGAATGAGAGATTTTCACTGAGTGGTAAAGTTAATGACAAACAAGAGATATAAAATCACAAAAAAGTCAGTTTGGTAACAATAAAGAAATGAACGTAATATATAAAAATGGACAAAAGAACCACTGTTCGTTTTAAAAAAGGCCATCATGTTTGAAGGAGTAAACAAGTCATGAAATCTCATGGCAGGCAGGCGTTGTTTTTAAAACGTGTTTCTCTTCTGAATCTGAAACCAAGAGAATATGATATTAAAAAAAACTATGATAAACCAACCTTCCCAAACCTGTGAACATCTGCTGACAAAAAAACCTCCACCACCCTCTGAGGATTTTACTTTCCATTTATTAAATTCCTGCCAATGAACTGTCCAGCAAGGCAAATCTGATCATTTTAGCAGCACACAAGAATATCTATGTATCGGCTTAAATAAGCAAAGATTCTGAAAACCTCACACATATATTGCAGGTCATTAAGAGTACCTTAAAGGGCACCTGTTGTGCTCCAGGCAACTTATGGTCATTCTCAGCCTATTTCATTCATAGAATCATGGGAGTTGTAGTTCAGCAACATCTGGAGGGCTGGAGTTTGGGGAAGCCTGATCTAATGTACTAGCAGTTTTGCTAGTAAATATGTAGCACGCCGAGGCATTGACTGACAAGGGAGAGCAGCAGAGATCTCCCACAGGAGGTCCCCTCTGCTCTCCACCCATAGCATAGCGCATGCACTGTGGTTGCTATGGAAACTCCCTAGCCAGTGCTAGTAGAGGAACGAGTGATGTGACATTACTCTGTTTCGATGGCAGCATGCAAACGTAACTGACAAGATTTGCTCTGCAACCTTACGAGGTATGCATGTTCTGGTGCATGTAAATATTTGTATCCTTTTTTTTTTTTCTCATTCACTTACCCTATTGTAAAACAGGAGGTGGTTTTGCGGTTTTCACCATTTGACTCTCTGACAGGGCATCCACTATCCAAGAGAGGGCTTTTGCGCAGTATTCAACCTAGAGGAAATGAAGAATTTCATAAGAATAAAAATAAAAAGATTTTTGAAAACACACACTTATAAAATACATTTAATTGTCGTAAATACCTCCTTATATGGGGATAAAGTCAGTTCTGTTCTGTCTGGCTACCAATGAAAGGGTTAATGCAGTCCATGGTTTTCCTTTCGCTAACCTTTTCCCTAAATAAACACATCCTGCTATTGTTTGAGATGTTAACGCACCTCCCTATGTTAATAATCAAGCTTTCATTATTCTGTGGGTTGACAAAGATATTGTGTCTGTGTTTAACATCTTCCCAAACACTCCCTCGATTTGAAACTTCGATCAGAGTGATGAGTGTTGAAATCCATCAGTTATAACTATTTTGGGGCCAGAGTACAAACTAAAATATGACTCACTCCCATATGTTTCAGCTCTTTTGAGCTCCATTTGTAATTTTGTTAACATTTTTTATTATCAAGTGTTTAGGAAGATGCTTATTATCATTTATTAGATAATTGATAAAAATCACCACTTTCTGTCCCCTCTCGCTTTCTTTTTTTTCCCCTGATTTGGAGGATTTTTCCAGATGAACTATTTTTTTTTTTTTTGCTTCAGTTTTTCCGTTCAGATTCACTTCTGGAATATTTGGAGTTTAGACAAAATCCATGTCCGTTTCTTTCCAACATTCTCCCTTTGTGGTTTTTATCCCTCTCTCACAGTTTGAAGCCCATTTCCATTTATGTTTTGGTTTCCTCACTCGTTCTCCTCTGTTGTTGTTTTACTTGCCCCATTGTATTTTTGTGTTCCTCTGTTTCTCCCTTCTCCCTGCCCCCTATACCCATTTCCTTTTTTATACCACTTATTCTCTTTCTGTATGATTTGTCCTCTCTGTGTGTTCTCTTTTGCCTCGGACAGCTTTTGGGCATTTCCAGAACTTTAAAGGACCACTATAGTCACCCAGACCACTTCAGCTCAATTAAGTGGTCTGGGTGCCAGGTCCCCCAGGTTTTAACCCTTCAGATGTAAACATAGCAGTTTCAGTGAAACTGCTATGTTTACATTGCAGGGTTAATCCAGCCTCTAGTTGCTTTCTTCCTGACAGCCGCTAAAGGCGCTTCGCCGACGCTCAATGTGAAAAATCGCATTGAGCACGCAGAACGTCCATAGGAAAGCATTGAGTAATAGACTCCACTCGGGAGCTGAGTTCGGAGGGGGTGGAGAGGTCACCAGCACCGAGGAAGCCGGCCCTGGATAAAGGTAAGTGGCTAAAGGGGTTTTAACCCCTTCAGCCCACCGGAAAGGGGACCCTGTTGGTGGGGGGACCTAAGGATTATATAGTGCCAGGAAAACGAGTTTGTTTTCCTGACACTATGGTGGTCCTTTAAGGCAAACAAGACAAAATGTTACTGCAGTCTGCCAGAAAGTTCATCTTCTTTCTTTACGAAATGATAACTAACGTGAAGAGTTTATCATAATAAAGTGTCCGTCTCGTTTTACAGATTCAGCTGTCCTGCCTGCTGGTGGCACATGTTAATCTGACAAATGCCCAAAATGGATTTTCAGACTGTGCACAAGTTGTAGGAGATCAGAAGCCAATCAGTATTACTTATTCAATAACATGTTTTTTAATACTTGAAATAGCTTTCAGGTAAAAGCAGATAAGGTGAATCCGAAAAGCCAGGTGTTCTTTCAAAAGTAATATAAAGCTTCCCTATGCAGTTACATATTGCACTGAGACCCATGTTACCCAGCCCAAGTGTATTCTGGGATCTGTAGTACCTCATTTTCCAACGATTTCAACCTTCTGTCGTGTTCTTTTATTTCGTTAAGATTCTTTAAAGCTATATCCACCCTACAAAGACAGCAAAATATTACATGAATCAGCATATTTATTTATTACTATAGCGGTTTCTATACAGACCTGTTAAGTATAGCATAATTGTGTACGTAGTGAATATACCTGCATTTAGTATTCACGTCATTGAAACTGTACAGAAAGTGTATTTTTAGCCTTGCTGACAATGCCATTTGTGGTTTAGAAATAATAATAACAAATTATTTAACCAGGAAAGGTACATTCAGATTACTCTGGTTTTATGTACGTCCTAGGAATGTTACCTTAGCCCAACATCCAAGGGTTGTTACTATTACCCAATTTAATGGTACTCATTTTATCTACCTTGGAAGGATGAAAGGCTGAGTCAACCCTGCCGGGATTTAAACCTGCGACCCAAGGGTTGAATAGATTCTACTGATGATGCATTAGCCACTGAGCTATCTCACCAGTCTAAACAAGGAAATTAGACTTCTTTTAAATTATAAATAATGATAGTACTGCATTTTTGTTCAGTTACTGACATTTTCAGGGTTATTTACTTAAGTTAGAATTGTTGGCAATTTAAAGTGAATTTCAAATTGAAGGCCAAAGTAGACGTGTAAAAGACTTAATAAATAAATGACTTTTAGAAATAAGTCTGACATTGCTTCTTTAAAGATCTGTTTGTACTCCTATAATTAGCAATATTTATGGGACGTTACCTCTTTGAAGGTTTCAACATAAATGAGTCCAATTATATTAATTCACGCTGATGAGAATTTCTATTAGGCTGGAGCGACTAGACATTGGGTGATATCTACACATTTTCATACTTTCTCCCTGGACCTTTTTTTTTTTTTTGTACCTGGTTCCTACAGTTTTGTCTTTTCATTACTGTAATATAAGCAGGATGTTTACATAGTATCAGTTAAAGAAAGACCTTAGTGTATCAGATCAAAACTAGCAAGCATTCCTGTTGCTGCTGTTGATCCAAAATTAAATGTTGAGATCAAGTTTGATTTTCTTTTCATTAAATTTGGTTAACATTTTAATCAGTCTATTTTGAGCATCTCCTGGCATTGTATGCTCCTTTTATTGAATTCAATGTGTCTATGAATAGATGAGCACCTTGTTAAACCAAGATCTCGAGCCCTTACTTTTGTGAGGTGCGGCGCAGGCGTTCTGTGTCGCTGTCCCTTTTCTGCTTGGCAAGATTTACTAGGTAGTTCTCCTTCTGCACAGCTTCCCAGGTGAGCATCCGACTATCTAAAGGCTCCTTCAGCTCCAACACTATGGACAGAAAATTAGATAGATATGTTAGTGGAAGCTGCTGATTTCATACACACTGGCTTTTCTAAATTTCAGAGTACTTTAAGACGCCTTGACTTAGATCAACAAGTGACAAAGTCAGTCTCACGCATTTTGCATCCAGTAAGGTCAGGGGTGGATCCAGAACCCAATCTTGGGAGTGTCACTGGGCGTTTGAAATTATATATATATAGGTGGTCCTCACTTTACGACCTATCTGTATTACGATGGCTTGATTTTATGACCAGCTCTCTAGGCTGGGGATTCAAGGGATTCCCCACGTTAGAGAGCTGGTCTATGTTTGGGGAATTTTCCCCGAACATAGATTAGAGGGATTCCCTGCTCTGGTGTGTATGTCTAAGTTCGGGTAAATTTCCCAAACATAGACCTGCACGTATCCTCACTTACCGACCAATTAGTTTTTTACGACCGGATCGTATCTGTAAATATATTATATATATATATATATATATATATATATATATTCTGATAGGGTCACTGGGGCAGGTTAATTAAGGGCAGGTACATTAGCCAAGTTATGAACAGTGTGTTTTTTCCCTGTTTCTAGGGTTAATACTTCAGCAACTTCAGCTGCTACTTAAAGAGACACGCCAGACACCAAAACAACTTAGTCTAAATTAAGTTGTTATGGTGCTAGGAGGCCCCTGGAGGCAGTCTGACCTCAAGGGGTTAAACCCTACGTGAACAGCTTAATCCCTACGTTGCCTCCAGTGGCGATGTCCCAGATGGCATCCGACTGGACATGGCCGCAGTTGATTGGCTAAGAGCAGTCAGCTGATGCTCTCAGGCAGTCAGAGACTACCCATTAACAAAACGGGCTTGAAAAAGGTACGTTTCCGTGCAAGACAGTTTTGTCATGGGGAATAGTGATTGACTCCCCATTCACAGTTTTCTCCATATTCCTCCCCATCTTCTGTTCTCCCCTGCATAATTAAAAAAAAATACTGAATCTCTCAGTAACGTTACAATACAGACACCCATATTGAGCAACCCAATGTGGTATCTGTCTACTTTGGATGGAGCAACTGCCCTCATGCCCACCCCCCGATCCGCATCTAAGTGAGGTTTAATCACAGACCACCAAAATCATAGAATAACATTCAAATTATCATTGATGGGTTTGAAGAGACCTATGCAAAAAACTAAGGGGGAGCTTTGTAGTGTCCTAATGCATCTACGCTCTAACATAGCGCCATATTGTGAATGGATGCAACCTCTGCCTAGGCTACCAACAATAGCTGCCCACCACAATACTCACTAAAATGTCTGATCTTCTGGGACGCCACCTTGCGAATCTTGCGTTTTATGAAAGTGTGGATGTGACTGATAATAATGAATGGAGGCGCCAGAGCTGGGCGGTTGTGATACTCCACAATCAGGTTATAGCGTTGGAATTTCCAATATATATCACTGTTTCCTTGGACCTTGGAAAAGGTGTAACTGATAAAGAGTTTTATTGCGTTAGAGAATGAGAGAGAAAATATTAAACAGATCTATAAAATCATTACGTGTTTGAACTTGTTATCTGGCATTTTCATGTACTGAGCTGGGTCATATATTGGCAATATAACATGACATCTATAAATCCTACATAAAGTAAAACAGACTATTAGGAATACCATGTTCTATTCCATTCACTTGATTTAAATCAAGTCATGGGACAGTATTTTAGACCAGGGATTCTTCATATTTTTTTTACAGGAATCCAAATTACGTACATTAAATTTTTTTTTGGGCTACCCATTATTCAGACTGCTAGATGTACTCTGTGACCCCAAGATATCACATTTAACGTTAAAATTCCCTTAGCAAGACACCTTAATTAGACTCTTCATTATATAAAAGCTAAACTGAGCGATGAATGTGATGTGTTTCTTCCAATTATTGAGATTGCCCACATATGAAAGTACAGCCTGTATGGGTACTGTATAAGTGTAATTCTGTTGCTATGATGATTGTAAATGTATTTCTGATTACATTGATTACAATGGTAGAATGTAATCTTTCAATTTCCTCCTCACCTGAACATGGCAATCAGAAGATTCAGTAGCAGAATGTTGGCAACCAACAAGAAGACCACAAGGAGTAAAATAACGAGCCAGTTGGCATAGGTATTGGTGCAGGGTGGTGCTTCTTCCATAAGAATGGCAATCGGGTCATCAGTGCAGTTTGACGATAAGATCTTTGAAGCTTTTTGTGAATAAACACACAAGGTTCCATTAACATGGTGGAGCACACATCAGAGAATACAATAATATAATAGCAAGGCACCATAGCAATGGACATTAAAACAATTTATTATTAGAAGGGACATTTTAAGAACCAAAACCACATCATCTCAAAGAGTTACTCCAACCTCCATTGGAGATATCTGCAATTGTGTGCCGTTATCTAGTTACACCCCTGGCATACTTGACTTCGGAAGCCTGGAAGTCTGTTCCGGACTGCATAATGTCAATTCTGTCTAAAAATTAAGTCATGCACTGCGCACTGGTGACACACGTAATCAGCTTGTACCCTTGCAGACAGTGCTAGGAGCACGCATTCATGGAGAAACCTATCTGTCCCACCCCTCCCTGCCTCCCTACATAAAGTCTGCAGATTTTATTTTTTATCTCCTCCCTTTGACCACCCCACACTCCCTCCCCTTCTTGGCTCAGAGTGTGCACATGAATTTTAAACCTCTGAGAATGGTCCCATCAAATCCTTGTGATTGGACCTTGGAAAGGAAAGGAGTGACGCAGCGGATAACGGACGGGAAGTGAAAACGACCTAGGTGAACTTCGCCAAGCACTGGATTCCAAGCAAGTGTGAACCTTTTAATATTTGTATTTTTTTTTTTTTTAAATAAGGGGGGTGGGGAGCAGGTGACAAGTGCCCAATAAAAAGTCATACTAAAGTACTAGGTTTGCAGTAACCCTTTACATGGACTGGATATTTGCACCAAAGCCACTACCATAGTCTGATAATGTGAAATACAGCACTGTTTACATTTGTCAGTTGCCAAGTTCCTTGTGGCTGTTTAGTAGACACGAGACCCGGTCCCTCTTCCCATAGTGTAATTATCGCATTTCTTCATGTTCGGTGTTATCATGCGCAGCTTAATGATGCTAAATGTGACTTTAGGACATTGCAGGTTATGTACCTGCACATTCTACATGAACAGCAAGCTCATCTCTTTTTGGGGAATGATAACATTTAATATGGACATTTTTATTGATTTATTGGAATAACACAATAGTTAGCGAGAAATGACTTGGAAGACTGGATCATCTCATCCTTACCATCAATCTCCTCTTGAGGAATCTGACCAAATATTTGTAGGTAGGGCCTATAAAACACCCGCCGTAAGATCCAGGAGAGGCGCATGTCACTGGGGTGAAGGAGACCTTCGGTAGCCACACCGTAAGCTATGAGCCAGACTCCAAGGAAGAAGAGAAAGAAAAATACGTCCTTCATCTAAAAAGAAAAAGAGATTTTAAGAATTTCTTGATCACGGCACTATTATCGACCAAAATGTACCACTGGGAGAAATTTTGCCAGAAAGAGAGAAATGCAACAAACCATTGAAAAAGTGACTGAGCAAATTGAAGATGTGTATCTTAAAAATATTAATCTCTGGCGTCGTTTCAAAAGATCTGGGAACCGTGGGATAATAGTCCACTGGGCTCGGGCAGTGCTTGACGGCACCTTGCCCTGTTGTAGAGGGTAGGGCCCCACGTAGCAGGGAGCTCCCCCACCTCCCTCTCTCTCCCTTCTCTCTTTTCTCTCTCTCCTCACAGCTTCCCTGCTCTCTACATCTCGGCTGTTTTTTCTCCTCCTTCCTTTCTCTCCACTATGGAATTTCCCTTCTTCAGTCTCATCCTTCTTTATTATTTTTATTCCCCTCCCTCTGGTTTCTCCATGGGAGGTGGCGTTTTCTTTTTTCACCTCTCTTTAATACGAAGATACGGTTGGATGAACAATGTAGTCTGTGAGCAAGTTGGGCTTTTGCGTAGAATGGGATCATGGTATGGCTGCCATGATAGTCGCACTCTTCAACACCTAACTTTAGATAGCGGACTCATTGGGCATATGTCAGGGATGGGCATGTGAAGTCTATATAATTACACACGATAAGGCCAGGCACTATGACTGTACTGACTCGTTATTTTCATCAATTCCCTGATATTTTCTGGGCCTCTTTTTATATCAATAAGCAATGTAAGTAGCAAGACTGCCATTGCTTATTAAAACGGAATTTGAAATCGAATGTGTATAGAGTTTTGCGGATCATCCACCTCACTGTTTACTAACAGAATTGTTTTTGTTTTTTTATGTCTTATTTTTACTCTTTAACCCTAAAAATGTGCTGTATTAACCTGTGACATTGTTAAATGCTGTAAGATGCACACAGACGCTGATGTGGCTCTGTGTAATTGTTGTTGATACATGCATGACAAAAATAAAGAATTAAAAAAAAAAAAAAATATTCATCTCATGTTACCATATCTCGTTTTCTACAGTCAATGTAAGATGTTTATTGCAGGTGTGACTAAATGCCCTTCTTCATGCAAAAGGCCTTTTTTTTGTCAGATTTTATAGGCTTCCTGTTCCCTTTTGGTTCATCTTTGTTACATAAAGGAATATACCAAACACAGCTGTAGGTCCACCTTCATTCCATCACTCACCATCTTCCTGACAATGATAATCTTCGGTCCTAGCTGCTTGTTCACAGCAAAAATGTGAATTAATCGCAGAGTGAAGACCATAAAATCAAAGCACAAGATGGTCCGTCCAGCTTCATACGAGCTTTCAAACATCCTGGGGGAAAAACAACATTTACAAAACAGCTAAAATAACACCCAGTAACTTTCCACAAGGATGGACAGTAAATGCAGATCAACCCATCACCATTCAATGCATTAACTTTTCTATTTAAAATCTACTGATTTTAAAATAATACGAGAACCCGAGAATGTTTGGTGCAAGGTGTAGTTGCATGAATATTTGGCTCTATCAGCACAGCATCTTCACCACAAACTATTTCGGGAGCTGTGTTCAGCTATTACCAGTCTACTGTAGAAGAATAATAGGGTGATTACATGGCTACAGCTTAATGCAGTTTTTCTGGTGTCTACTGCCTGTCCCTGCAAGCCTTTTAATGTAAACGCTGCCTTTTCAGAGAAAAGGCAGCGTTTACATTGCCCCCTAGTGACACCTCCAGTGGAAGTTACTCAGTCACAACGTGCAGCACTGAAGTTCAGCGTCTCTGCTGGCATTCAGTTATGTTGATTCAATGCATCACACAGGGCATGCAAGGCAATCACAACGATCACACCATTTACAATAGCAAGCACAGAGAGCAATTGAAAATTCAGTCTTCAGCAAGTAACATTGAAAGCAATTTAGAAATCAGTTTATTAATATCTAGGTTTGATTTCCCAGTGAGCTGAAGACTAAGCCAAACCATTTCCCTATGCTCCCAAGCAATTCAACAATTACAATTTCCCCTCGGTAAAATTAAATTAATAGAAAAATCGAGAAATCTTAATTTTGGAAAATAAATGGAAGTGGTTGAGATTACTCTGCAAATAGTTAAATAGGGGTAACTAAATATTTCATTAAAAAAAAGGCTATATCGATGATCAACTACTACTCTTTCAGTAGAAGCAGATGAGATAACGTTAAATGTTCTAGCACTCAGATGTACCTGCAAACTAGGGCAATGATGAAAAGCATCAAGGCCGTGATGTCTACATGGTTCCATGAATCCTGCAGGTACTGCTTGACTTTCTGTGTCACCGGCATAGATCCCACAAAGAAGCTTTGTCGTATCTCTTCGCACACCATTGTGAAAATCCAAAAATAAAGGATGATCTCAGAGTTTGACGGGCCATCTGGAGGAGCTGGCTTGAAGTCCATAAGCAGAACGTAGGAGAAAAGGAAGAGGAAGGCAAAATACATGACTACGTTCCCCAAAAAGGCTGTCACCGGTGCACTCCAAAACTGCTTCCAACGTCTTAACCACGTTGGCCGTGGTTTCACCCTTATGATTTCCGACTCAGGAATCATAGTTTTTGAATTCTCTGGTTTGCCCGTTTTGAGTGGTATCACTTCGGATTTCCCCTTCTCGTACTCTTCCCTAAAAAGGAAATAAATGAAGGATGTTGGGTATCTGCAATGTTAAAACCCTAAGCTATGATTGACGTATTATATTTTCCATTACCCCTCCATGATTTCGGCCACAGTGGTCTTTATATCGATGTCAAGACTGTCCATTTCCACTCGCTGAGGTCCATCTACATTTTCATTGTCGAAAGACCTGGAGGATTAAAAAAAAAAAAGGATCACGTGAAATGGTGAAAAATAGTCAACAACATTTTGTATCTTCTAAATCATAGTCTTGATTCAGCTATTATGTTAAGTAGATATACAGTTGTGTTCCAAAGTTTGCATACCCTGGCAGAAATTGTGACATTTTGGCATTGATTTTGAAAATATGACTAATCATGCAAACAAAAACATAAATTTTATTGAAGGATAGTGATCATATGAAGCCATTTATTATCACATAGTTTTTTGGCTCCTTTTTAAATCATAATGATAACAAATCACCCAAATGGTCCTGATCAAAAGTTTACATATCCTTGAAGGTTTGTCCTTGTTACAGACACACAAGGTGACACACATAGGTTAAAATTATTATTATTGGTATTTATATAGCGCCAACTAATTCCACAGCGCTTTACAATATTATGAAAGGGGGAAATTTATAATCAATGAGACAATTACACAGTGACACAGGAACAATAGGTAGATGAGTGCCCTGCTCAAACAAATCTATAGTCTACAGGTGGGAATTAAAGGTTAATTTCCCACACCTGTGGCTTTTTAGATTGCAATGAGTGTCTGTGTATAAATAGTCAATGGGTTTGTTAGCTCTCACGTGGATGCACTGAGTAGGCTAGATACTGAGCCACGGGGAGCAGAAAAGAACTGTCAAAAGACTTGCGTAACAAGGTAATGGAACGTTTATAAAGATGGAAAAGAATATAAAAAGATATTCAAAGTCTTGAAAATGCCAGTCAGTACTGTTCAAATAACTTATTAGGAAGTCAAAAATTCTCGGATCTCTTGATACCAAGCCAAGGTCAGGTAGACCAAGAAAGATTTCAGCCACAACTGCCAGAAGAATTGTGTGGGATACAAAGAAAAACCCACAGGTAACCTCAGGGAAATACAGGCTGCACTGGAAAAACACAATGTGGTTGTTTCAAGGTGCACAATACGACAATACTGCATGTTCGAGTTGCCAGTAAGAAGTCTTTACTGCGCCAATGCCCCAAAAAAGCCAAGTTACAATATGCCCAACAACACTTTGAAACGCCTCGCAACTTCTGGCGAACTGTATGACAATGACAATAAGTACAAGGCCAAGGTCTTACGGTTACCTCAGGCTAGCTGAGAGTTAGACAGCTTGGATGTCCTTGTCCCCGATCCTGGAGAGCAGTAGAAAGTTCCAATTCAGCACCTAACGATCTTCCTGCAAGTGTAAAGTATTCCTGGAGCTCTGAGCAGAGCTAGTGATCAGCATTTACCTAGAACACGAGTCGAGGCTGCGAGTTGAGGGTAAGATGTCTGGTTTATTGAACGGAAAGGCATTGCTTATATACACATTTTCAGGCCAGAGGCAAACCCCTCTGGACCTGATGAAACACAGTTTTACAAGGGACACAAACCAATGGGAACAAAGAGGATCTTTCTGAACCCTCCCCTCTATCATGGAGATAATTAACAGTAACTTAATTATTTCCAGGTACAGGACATATTCTGGAGTTGAAATTATACCAAAAACCACATAAAAATGCATAACTCATATAATATAATATTTAACTTATATGTCCAACATATCCCCAGACAGCTTGGATCTGAGCGCACAAGCGGTCCAAAAAGCGCCCAGATCTCTTGAATATAGTGGGAACGCCATGGGGATAAAGTTTGTCTCCAGGGCTGTTCGGCATAAGTCAACCCAGAATTAGCTCCACAATGTTCAGGCATAGGGTCGGTCTAGCTTCCAGAGTCTGAAAGTACCGAACGGCACGGTGTTCGTTGGTTAACATGGGCAAGCGTAAGATCTGAGTGACTTTGACAAAGGCCCAAATAGTGATGGCTAGACGACGGGTCAGAGCATCTCTGAAACAGGAGCGAAGGCTAGTCCATCTGGTCCAATCCCACAGAGTAGCTACTGTAGTTTAAATTGCTGAAAAACTTAATGCTGGCCATGCTAGACAGATGTCAGAATGCACAGTGCATCACAGAACGTTTAGAGTGCCCATGATTCTATTCCTAACTAACGCGACAGGCATGCCCAGGATTATAGGCTCCACGATTGGCAATATATCATGGTCGGACCATGCGGATGTGTCAATTACATTGGGCAATTTGTGTGTGGCTTCGCCGTGGACGTGGAGATTAAACACATCGCTACTACAGGACCCGGAGCTAAAAGAACAGATACGGACTGAAATAGTGGGATATTTTACCACAAACAACACCCCAAATGTCAGTGCAGGGTCAATATGGGCGGCCCAAAGCAGTAATAAGAGGGACCCTCAAAACTAGCCACTAGGAAGAAGATGATGAAACATATACAACTGGACACACTGATGGATCAATTAGGGAATCTTGAACAGAAACATCAAGCAACACCCGACAATGAGACCTATAAGAAACTGGAAGCGGTACGGAGGAACATCCGCACGCTACTGCTGGACGATACCGCTCGATCCATGATCTGGACGAAACTGACTTTTTACGAGAAATCCAATAAGATGGATTCACTCCTAGCCCGAACATTGCGACCTAGACAAGAACGATCCCACATCACGGCCATCAAACATTCGAATGGAACGACAAAATCAAGGCCAGATGAGATAGCAAAAGTCTTTGAGGACTTTTACAAAAGACTATACAACCACACACCAGGCGCAAACACTCCTGACAGAAGTGAAGAAGAACATATTAACAGCTACTTGAATGACCTTGGGCTGACCAAACTTGGGAGAGAGGCGGTAAATAGCCTGACAGCTGAAATTACAGAGGAAGAAGTATATAGAGCCATATCTAACTTGAAAGGTAACAAGGCTCCAGGACCTGATGGGTTCGAAGGTACGTACTACAAGACCTTCAAAGAAGAGCTTACACCCCAACTGATGAAACTCTTTGACTACATGAAACAGGGGGGACTCCTCACTCCAGACATGACCCTAGCTACCATTGTATTGATACCTAAACCCGACAAAGACACGCTCCAACCAGAAAACTACAGGCCCATATTGCTGATTAACCAAGATCTGAAAATACTAGCAAAAATACAAGCTGACAGATTGAACCCACTACTAAACTCACTCATACATGCCGACCAAGTAGGCTTTATTCAGGGCAGACAACTGTTCGAGAATACCAGAAGGAATATCGACCTAGTCTGGAAACAAGTGACCTCTGGAATCCCCACCTTAGTGGTCTCTATAGATGCGGAAAAGGCCTTTGATAGGGTGAGATGGCAATTCCTCTTCTCGGTGCTGAACCACCTGGGGTTCCCGAAAGAATTTATAACTACTACAAAAGCAATGTACCATGAAGTGGTGCCCCGATGACACCATTCCGACTCTATAATGGTCTAGGCAGGGGTGCACACTTTCCCCACTCCTGTTTGTACTAGCACTGGAGCCCTTGATGCAAGCGATCAGACAACATCCAGATATTGGTGGAGTACGGGTAGGAGACAGAAAGTTTACAGTCTCAGTGTATGCGGACGACGTTCTTTTGACCATTATGAACCCCTTAACGTCCGTGTCGGCCCTCCAGGAAGTTATCAAGGACTACAGGGAACGGTCTGGATATAAAGCCAACATGCAAAAAATCTAGCGCTATGCCACTTGGCATGACAGAAGTAGAAATAAGTCAGATACAGTGGACCTACCGCATCAGGATGGAAAGAGAGTCTATGAAATATCTGGGTATACACATAACAACAGACCCGACATGCCTCCACTCCGCGAACTATGGTCCCTTAATCAGGAAGTTGATGGGAGACTTAGAAAGGTGGATAGATAAGCCCATCTCCTGGATAGAACGAATTAACTCTGTTAAAATGAACGTCCTTCCAAGGATTTTATTCTTATTCCAGGCTCTCCCTGTCCGCGTCACCAAAGCACAACTGAATCCGCTACAACGGTCAATAGGTGACTTCATCTGGCAGAACAAGAGGCACAGGATATCAAGACAGATTCTCTATAGACGAAAAGAAAGAGGGGGGCTGGGCCTGCCAAATCTATACTTCTATTACCTTGCAGCTCAACTAACACAGGTAGCTATGTGGCATTCCCCTCTGGAAGAGCGGAGATGGGTCGAGATAGAATCCATGATGGTGGGCTGGGACTTCCCCCAGTTCACTATGTGGATCCCGAAAGATTATCGACCCTTGATACGGGTGACTTGCCCGTCCATACTTAATTCGCTCCAAATATGGGACAAAAACAGAACCAAGTATGGACTGGCGACCTCCCCCTTTCCCTTGACTCCAATTCTAAGAAATAGGGAGTTCCAGCTTGGTATGGCCCCCAGAGATTTTCGAAACTTGGAGAGAACGGGACTACAACGGATCCATCAACTATACCATAATGGAAACTTAATCCAATTCGAGGACCTTCAACAAGATAACCACCTAACCCCCACAGACTTCTTTAGATATATACAGATCCGGGACTTCGCTAGGAAACCACACATAAAGGCCGCAGTTCAGGGAAACATGACGTTCTACGGGAAACTATGCCTACACGAAAGGACCCCCAAGGGCATGATAACCCTAATGTACGCCCACCTTAACCAAAGAATGGGGGAGACTATCTTATACCGACCAATGGGAGACAGAACTAGGAGAAGAGCTAGAAGGCATAGAATGGCAAGAAATTTGGGAAGCAAATAAAAATGCCTCCATATGTGTCACACTACAGGAACAGACGTGGAAGACCAAGTTTAGATGGTACACAACCCCCGTAAAACTTTATAAAATGCACAAAATGGATACGGATGATTGCTGGAGGGGATGTGGAGCCCGAGGTACATACCTTCACAGGTGGTGGGAATGCCCAAAACTTCTTGGATTTTGGAAAGCGACAGAAAACCTACTGAAACAAACATTTAACAAACCCCTGACCAGAGATCCATGGGTATACCTATTAAACAGGTCTGTAGACGGATGGACCAAGAGAGGGCAGAAACTGGTCCATAAAATAACTAAGCGCGAGACGAACAATTGCGACTGGGTGGCTTTCACCAGACGGACCTGAGTTTCCGGGAGTGGTATCCAGGATCCGCGAATGTAGGATTATGGACGACCTGACAGCAAGAGTGAAGGGTTCGACAGAAACATTTCTAAAACTCTGGGAGCTGTGGGATAATAGCGTAGTGGGTTTTAGAGAGGACAGATAAGACCGAAAGGAAGAAGTAAAGGTGACCTACAGTAAAGGTGAACTAGTAGCGGAATCCTCCTCTGACCGGAGGATCCATTCGACACACTTGGCATAGAGAGTTCTGGATAAGCCTCCTGTCCCCGTTTCCCCCCCCCTTCGGATGTCATCCCCTGGCATTCTTTCCTCGCTGCTTCCGGGTCACTGCATCCACCACATCACTTTTCTTTACTTCATACTATCTTCTCAGTCTCCCTTTCTCTAATCCCTTACTTTTTCTCTTCCCGCACCTTAACGGGAAAAATCCTTTCCTTATTCGATAAATACTCTGCATATCAACCTCCTCAGGCATGGTCAACGTAACGAAAGAAATGGGAGACCTAGAAATACCATATAGACCTCAGACTATTAATCCTATAACTATATCTAATGACCTGAAAATATCAAACTTTCGATCTGATACTGACATTACAGATATTCCAAAACGTCACAAGACTTACATGACATATCAAACATATTATACGGCTCATCGTTAGGCCTAAATTTGCCTCTGCGTCAGTGACACTTCCTTTGCACACCTAAGTTCTCCGGTCAAACCAATATAATGTACTGAGGAATTATATTATGCATATTAAAATCCTTCATGGAGGGCAGTCCCTCATGGTTCCGTTAAACATGAACACATACTGTAAAGATTGAACTGCGTGTAATTGTTAAGATATTACCCATAATTTGGCTTCTGCGTAAGCCCAACCGTTGATGCTTGCTTGCTATGTATGGTGAGCAAAAATAAACATAAAAATAAAGAATTTAAAAAAAAAAAAATAGAGTGCCCATGATGACTCCTGTCCACCGCGGAAAGCTCCTTCAGTAGGGATGTGAGTAATGGAAAAAGGTTGCCTGGTCTGATGAATGACATTTTCGTTGAGATCAGGTGGATGGCCATCAGTTGGATAGCCTGGTGCACGTGCGTCGTTTACCTGGAGAAGAGATGGAAGCAGGATGCACCATGGCAAGAAGACAGGCCAACAGAGGCATTGTTATGCCGGGAAAACTTTGGTCCTGGCATTCATGTGGATGTTACATTGACACATACCACCTACCTAGAGATTGTTGCAGACCACGTACAACCCTTCATGGCAATGGTGTTCCATGATGGCAGTGGCCTCTTTCAGCAGGATAATGCACGCTGCCACATTGCAAAAATTGTTTCGAGGTTTGAGGAACATGACGAAGAGTTCAAGGTGTTGCCTTGGCCTCCAATTACCCCAGCTCTCAATCCAATTGAACATCTGTTGAAAGTGCTGTAACAAACAATCCGATCCATGGAGGCCCCACCTCGCAAGTTGGTGCCAGATGCCACAGAACACTTTCAGAGGTCCATGCCTTGACGCATCAGAGCTGTTTTTGCAGCACAAGGGGGACCTACATGATACTAGGCAGGTGGTTTTAATGTTTTCTCTGATCAGTGTATATAAACCACAAACTCTCAGTTTCTAATTGTAAGATTATAAGCTTGAACAAACAGGGTCCTCGGTAACCTCTTGTCCTTGTCAATGTTTGTAACTCATTTGCTGTTGAATCCCTTTTTTTGACATTGTAAAGTGCCAATAATAATAATAATAATAATGAAATGTTTGGTTTGTTTTTAAACACAATTTTTCTGTATGTTCTCACTACTTTATGCAATACTGCTTATTTTAATAATTATGTGGCCAACATATATAGTAGCGCTGTATAGGTCTGGCTTCTTGTATATCTAGAGTCTGGTAACATTTGTAACCAGCACACACATCACAGTTACATGTAGGGTACCACTCACTTGAATTCAATCAGATCTGTGTATATCAGAGGCGGGCAGAAGAAGGTTAGCACCATGGCCCATACGGGTGTATTATGTGCCATCTGACCCCACCAGTTCTCCGTTAACATGGACTGTAAAATACAAATCAATTGGAAAAAAATGTGAATAAAAATATGGCTATTATTAACTCTTCTTTTCATTGACTACTATAGGTAAACCTGCTTCTGCTGAACTTGAAAAATTCACCTATGCACCCAGCTTGGCTATTTTTACCCTAAATTTGAAATTCAGTTTTAATTGAGAAGTGAGAATTCAGAGTCTATGACCAAAATAGCCAAATTAGAATAATTCAGCCATGCTTCCAGTTCAGCTACTGTGGTCTTAAATTTGAAGTTCCCTTTGAATTCATCACATTACTCACTTGAACAACCCTGCCCAATTAACACACCCTGAGATCAAATAGTGTTGAAGATCTTTGTTAAGGGAAAATAATTTTTTTTTCTATTAATTTAATAACTTTTTCACTGCCACGAGAAAACTTGAAATGGTAAGAGGCAATTTACAGACTCCTTAAAGGAACACTATAGGGTCAGGAATACACAGGGTGTGTTAATCGTGCAGGGTTGTTCAAGTGAGTAATGTGAGGAATTCAAAGGGAACTTTAAATTTAAGACCACAGTAGCTGAACTGGAAGCATGGCTGAAAAAAAACACCATCCAGCCCCCTGTCCCCAATATTTCCCCCTGAATATAGTAAAATCTTACTTTTGTTCAAGTCTGCAGCTGCTGGCTCTGCCCCTGAGCTGCCCTATTTGCTGACATCATCAAAAGTAGTGCTCTGAGCCAATCACAAAGCTTTCATATAGGATTGGCTGAGACTATCAAGATCAGGGGCAGAGGCAGCACAAGTAAAAAACAGCCATGGCAAATCAGCATCTCCTCATAGAGATGTAATAAATCAATGTGTCTCTATGAGGAACGTTCAGTGTCTCCATGCAGAGGGTGGAGACTCTAAATGTCAGTTACACTGTGCAGCACTGCCCCAGGAAGCACCTCTAGCAGCCATCTGAAGAGCGGCCAGTGGAGGTATCCCTAGGCTGTAATGTAAACACTGCAGTGTTTACAGCAAAAAGCCTGAAGGGAATGATTATACTCACCAGAACAAATACAATAAGCTGTAGTTGTTCTGGTGACTATAGTGTCCCTTTAAGAAAGTTGGATAAGAGGTCACATAACAGTGTAACTAAAGAATACAAAATGTTCACATACTGTATGCATGAAAACACATACACTGTATCTTTATAAGTAACTCACCTGAACTCCATCTTGCGCAAAGAAATTGCGTGCATCTGCTTCATAAGCGAGTTGTAGGCAAGTGGCACCACCCCAGACATTGGATCGTCGCACCAGAAGCTTAAAGGCTCGATTTTCACTGTTTCTATAGCATTCATTAAAAACTCCTGCATAGGAAGGATATTGTCTCAATCAAAAATAAATTTTTGTCCACCTGTGTCTACTTTCGCCCATGTCTGCACTTGGTTAGCCAAAGGGTGCAGTGGGCTTTTCTCAGCATAAATCACAATTCCGTGGTAAAGTTCTAAAAGTGCGTGTCATCATAGTAACCAAATAAACTGGAACTTGCAGTAGAATTATTCCTTATATGTAAGCACCAAGCTTACTGCTTACTTCGTTTATGCATGAGCTAAATCAGAAGTTCAGAACTGAAAAGTATATATCATACTGTGGCAGAACCAACCTCGCCACTGTGCACTGGAGAAGCCTGGTTGCTCGCCTGCTCTGCTTTAGATTCTGGCCCTGCAGTTCAGAGCTGTTATTCTCCCTGCTGAAAGGTTTATTCATGCCTTTCTGCCAGGGTGTTCGGTAGAAACTACCGAACGATGGACCACCTGGGAGCTGGAGTGTGCCGTCAACTGACCACCCAGAAGCTGCGGTTAACCGCAGCTTAATTGATTAACGCTGGGTGGCCTTTGTTCGTCTGCCGAACACGTGGCAGCGGCCATTTTACCTCCCGAATGGCCAGCGGTGTTCAGCGCCCAAACTATGGAACTGGAAACGGACACTTATTGGCGCGAACACCGCCGAGCCGCCAGCCTCCTTACCTTCCCATTCGGTAAGCAGAACCGAATGACTGTTCATTCGGTAGTTTCGCCGGATGAACAGCATCCCCCAGATAGCTAAGCCATGGAGCCTATTCGTGTAACGAAAGACTATGGAAAAGACTTTGGCTCCATGGCGATTGAACTGTATGTATGTGATCTGAGCGCCATTCGGTAGTAATGTGCGCTCAGATCTAAGCTATCTGGGGATATGTGGAATGTATATATGTTTTAGGTAATAAATGTGGCTGTATGTAATTTTATGTCTTTTACTGTATTGTTACTGCCATGTGGTTAATGGAGTTTTGCCTCTGTCCTGGGAGATAAGTGGATTACTTCCCAATTTTCTCCAGGACAGAGAGGAGGGATTGTGATGTAATTGTGGGAGTGTTTAAAGGTGTATGTCTGTGATTGGCTAAGAGCCAATATGTTTTCCAGTTTCCCATTTGGTCCCATAGGGGAGTGTCCACCAGGTGGGAGACCTGCATAAAAGCCGGGCAGTTAGCCCCAGTAAACCAGATTCTGCTTGACCCTCAAACCGAAGTGTCGTCTCGTCTTTGGGGGGGATTTACTGTATGCTGTTAGAGACTGATTGCCAGGAGTGTAAGCCGCTTGGGGGCTTTTCCTGTTCGTCTGCTAACAGCTATTTGTGTGTCTCTAGTTCGGGAGTTTGGAGTATTCCCTTGGTTGCAGTTCGGGAGTTGGTGAATTCGTGGGTTTGCAGTAGCTGTTTGTGCATCTGAAAAAGGGGAATATCGCCTAAACGTTTTTTAACCTCTTGTGGGCAAAACGGTCCGTTACACATACCAATAGCAAGATGCTCAAACTTTGCAGCCAGGTCCTTCATTGCCATTGATTCTTCAGCCTCTGATTCCAAGCGAGAAAGCTCCTTAAGGATCTTGGTAGCAGCCAGCGCAGAACTCACAGCCTCTGAACCCTACGGAAAACACAATAAATTTTATGGAAGCCATTTCCCAGCAGAACTAATTGAATAGTGAAAGCAAATATGTTGCCTTCCCAAACATTCAACTAATTGAAGATAACCAACTAGAGCTGATTTTAGGACTAAGCTTTCCTATTAGTTTATCACACCCTTTAGTATTAAAAGATACAGGTTGTCAGAGGAAAAGTTTGGGATGCCATCGTCGTGTTCTCCTACCATCTACTTGTCAGGACTCCAACTCCATGCACACTCACCATTTCCCAGAAATATGATGCCATTTCATCACGGTTCTGAAGAATTGCCCAGATAAACAGGTCAATCCATGGAGTGGTAGACTTTTTAGTTTCATATTTTAGTTCGCCATAGGCCAGTTGCTGGGATTTATTCTGCAGACAGAAAGAGCAGTCAGTGTCATACAGATTACCCATTGACAAATTTCTATCCAGTTACAAACATAATAATAACTAGTATTTATATAGCTATAAACAAAAAATAAAGTGTGCTGAGTCTTTAAGACTGAAAATAAATACTTTATAGTAAAAGTGAACTATGCATAAAATAATTAATATAATGGTATGTCTGTACCCAAAGTAACAATGTTAATTGTTTTATATTAACTATTATATACATTGTCACTTTGGGTACAAATATACTATTATATTAATTGTTTTATGCATAGTTCACTTTTACTATAAAGTATTTATTTTTAGTCTTAAAGACTTTTTCACATTATTAGTGCTGCTTTTTTATTAACAAATCTTACTCATTTGTAATATCATTCAGTGCCATAATTTTAAGTTTTTTGTGTAGTATTTATATAGTGCTTTTTTCCCAATGAGACTCAAAGCACATAAGAATAATACTAGATGTTATTATAACCCAATACATAGTACTCATTTTTCGACCTCGGAAGGATGAAGGGCTGTATTGACCGTGCCAGGATTTGAACCTGTGACCTTGCGTTTTTTGAACAGGCTCTGTAGTCAGGGAATCTATCTCACCAGCTTCTGGTCATAGATACCCAGGAGAACAAGCTTTTGTAGCCAAATATTCTCAACTACTAGTGGTAAATGACTAGTGTTTAGTGTTACACACATATAAAAAGGTTAATGGAGCTTCTATACCACTGATCAATTATTTCATCTAGATACCCACATTTGAATTTCTTCTGCTAACGGAGCTTTTCAGGTTTCCAATGATCTGGGTGTAGAAAGGTGCACAAACATCACCCAGCAGTTCTTTTAAAACTTTGGACACTTCATAGAGCTTATACTCTTTTCCTTTACTGGTATTGTCCACTGGAATGAATTCACTGGGGTGAGGTTTGTTGGACTCTCGCCGTTCTTCATGTTTGCGCTGTAGGAGGTGACATAGAACTGTATTTTCCAAAATTGAACTGTAGAGTTCCTCCAGCTGTCCATATGTCAGGTAATCCACAATGTTCAAACCATTGTCCACAAAGAGCTTCACAAAGCTGGGCTTGTCATTCACCAATGCATCGGTCATGGTGTCCTCCAGATCTGACGCCTGGATTAAAGTAGCAAAATTAGTAAAAATCAAAGAGTGTGTGACAACAGAATAAAATAAATAAGAGAAAGAAATAAAATAAACATCAAAACTGGTGTCTAAATTGCATTAGGCCAGCCAACTATTGCATAGCATGCAGTAATTTACAAAATGTAGAAGGTCATCGAAAAATGTCTTTCCGGATGTGGGGCTTCTATCCGTAAATCAGTTTAAAACAATTATGGAAATAGAAAAATATTATAATTTTAATTTATGCAAAATATAGTTTTGTTTTTAGCTGGCATTAAAACTCGATGAGCTGTCTAGTTTCAATGTGGAAGAAACCATCTTGGAATGGCGTTGTTTCTTAAACCACCCTATGAAAGACACTAGTTAAAAAAAAAACCAAAGCTGCAGACATCACAGGATGTTACAATATTTAATATGCAAAAAGGCTCCCAGAATTCCTCTGTGAAGGAGACTGTTCTTTGTATTTTCTGAATGTCTGTATTTCTCTAGGTTTTGTAACTGATGAATATATTTACAAATAATCAATTCAAAGTATATGGAGTTTCACCACGGTACACAGAACATTTAAGACGCATCCACTTTAAGCTTACTGATACTCCACAAACCCTGGTAAAAATAGTGCAACAGGATTCACCAAGCCAGCTGCATGGACAGACAAAAGAATTAACTTGGTGCTTTTGTAATCTTGTTTAAAGCGTACAATCCATTGAAATATGAGATGTAGGAGATTTTCAGAGCACAGCATTCTATCTATGCAGCATTGCTATTCAATAGATTTTTTTTCTATATTTATATATACACACACACACACACACACACACACACAAACGGTCAAGTCTGGAGAAATATATGGTCACCGAAAAACACACAAACACAAAAACCTGTGGGATCCTGAACTAGTCAAGTCGACTTTTTTGTTTTTTTACCGGGGTGCAGTCTCGTAGCCACAGTATATTCACCAGAAAGAGCGCACAAAGTCAGATTTGTGTTTCAAAAAGTATTTGAGCTTTAACTACATAATAATCATCTCAATTTTTCAGTCCACACAGGGACCTTCATCAGGATAGGTATACAATAAACAAACACAGACTATGTAGGGAGGAGAGAAAGAGAGTGCAAATTTGAAAAAGAGGCCAAGAGACTGTGCGAATGAGGCTACATCAAAGTGGGAGAGAGGCTTGGAACCGGTGAACATCGAGGTTAGAATTACCGTAAAAAAAAAGGTAAGCCAATGGAGCATCCAGGAACCAGTGGGAAAAGATGAGACAGTGCCTTAACAGTGTATTATACGGTGTAACCAGCGAATACATATATGACATCAAAGGATACTTAAAACAGACACATAAAAATAAATACATAAACAAAAATGCAAAAAAGGCATGAGCCCAGAATAGGGTTACTCCGAGTGGTATGAATACCGACCACAGGAATATAATTTATGAGCTACTCTATAAGGCAAACTCAGCTCTAGAATATATACAGATCACATATGCAGAATGCACATAATTAATGATAAGAGCACCCTGTTTTGTTTCCTGAATGAAAGATAATTACACTATTTTCCATTTCATTTGTGTTCCTTTTTGGATTGTTGTCCATGATTTTGACTTATTATTAACCATTAAAATTGTTTATGTGCATATCTGCATATGTGATATGTATATATTCTACAAATGAAATTTTGCTTGAAAAATACTATTTTTATCATTTATAAATTTTTCCAAAGTGCAATAAAAAAAACAAGTAAATAAATATAGTTGTTTGCACATAAAGTTTAATAAACATAATGTTGTCTCACCCGCCAGAGGATTTCACCATGAAACAGCTCTGTTTTGGCAATATCCTCGCGATTCCAGGCCACAGCCAATTTAAGTTCATCAAGGTATTCAGTGGCATCGCTCGACTGCTTCTTGCATGCTAATATGTAGTGAAAAGAAAAAATATTATCTCTTCTGCATACACAATCCAGTGAGTTATTGCTGTATTTGGGTTATTATAAACCTACATTTGATTATAGACATACCTTTTACCAGGGCTTTCAAAATTACAGTCTCAAAGTCCTCGGTTCCATCGGTGTTTGAATACACAGTGACCAAATCTCGATTCTCCACAATTTTCTCCACCTGAAAAGAGTGTTTGTAGTGTTACATATAAATAATATTTTCAGTACAAGTGATAGTAATTAATTACTTTCCAAGCAGCCAACTAATGTGCGTGCTGCAACATAATCTCTCTAATCCTTTCTGAATTTATTTTAATACTTTCAGAATTTACTTATTAATAGTAACAAATGTGTTGTATCCAGTGATTTAGAGGTTATCATCAGGATTAAAGGGATACTATAGACATCAAAAAGACTAACTTAAAGAAGCAGTTTTGGTGTATAGAGCATGCTCCTGCAGTCTCACTACTCAATTCACTGCCATTTAGGAGTTAAATCATGTTTGCTTCTGTCTATGCAACTCTAGCCACACCTTCCCTGACTGTGACTGACACAGCCTGCATGAAAAAAATGGTTTCATTTTTCAATCAGATGTTAACTTGCTTTAGAATTTTGTATCTCCGGCCCTGTAAATTGAACTTTAGCAGTAAGTCATATTGCAGGGAGGTGTTACTAGGGCTGTATAAACAAAGTGATTTAACTTCTATATGTCAGAAATAAATGCAAAAATCCTTGCACCGGCCCTGCAAACAAGACAAATGATGACCCTCTGCGATATTAATACATAGCTCTCGATGTTTAGTAAACTAAGAATTAAAGGGATATGGTCACACTATGAACTATTATCAAATTCATTCAGTTCTAAATAAACCACTAGAACACAGAGGTAGAAAGGACCATTTACAGCGTGCACACAACTGTTGCTTCCAGTAAATACATATTGTTGGGAATACACAGTAAATGTAAATATGGTTAAGTGAGTTTAGGCCAAAATGGTCATTTAGAAAATTTCTCCAAGACAATTTTGTGTTCAGTTTGACTTTCTTGGCTTTCGACTGGCTATTAATTTTAGTGATTAATCTTTAGAATCTTTGAGGATTATTCACAGCTGTGCCTCTTAACACATGTTTGCAGGTTGAGGGACAGGAATTTAGAATTCATGGGGGATATACATGGAGATTTTATATAATGGATTGCTAGAATGCTGGCGACACAGAAACTGGATCTTCTGTAACATCGATGCAGATACAGTGATCTACTACTTTACACAAAGCAATAATAATAATAATAAACAAAATAACATTGTGATGAAATTATCGTAGAACTGACCATGTCAACCATCTTCCGCAAATCTTCTCCAGGAAAATGGTGTTTCAGTTTCTGCTCTATTAAGCCTCGAGCAGACTCCATAGTCAAGGATTCATCTAGGATTTCGGCCAAGAGGTCAGCTACTCCACCCGTTCCAGCTACCAGCAGGCAGGGAATGGGACATCTTGTGGCTTTGTATACTCTCTGGAAACATACAGCACCAATTCACATGCCAAGAACGGTCACGGCTTTAACAGTTTCTTTAAAAATATTTTTATTACAAGGTTTACTAGTCACTATGTTCCATGAGTTCTCTTTACACATAGAGTATTTCTTAAAGTGGCACTGTCACCGTCTGGGAACTTAGCAGAACTCACAAAGTCCCCCAATGGTGAAATTGCCACTGGTGCTCTGGTTGCCGCCGGGGGCATCTTATATAAGTTAATAATTTATCAAAGGGAAAGGGGGTACCACCTTAAACAAATGGCTGTGTTAGTTTAACATTACTGTAATTGGTAACAGTACAGTAATTGGTTTATAAATGTCTCTGGAACGTTGGATACATGTCCCAGTGCTGCCTGCGTTTTGTGTGCTTTGCAGCTCTGCGTGGCACCTATTTCACCTGCCACAAATTAAACGAAGGCAACTGCTGCTCAGTTACATAACTCTCACTAATACCAGGCAGCACAGAAACATGGCTGTTCTAGTTCTGCTCAAGATTAGGGCCCAAAACAGAAAATAACTAAACTGTGCATTATCAGACATGTTCTAAACGTTCCAATTTGATAAAGCCATAAAGGCGAAACGCGTTATTGGTTTTAATATATTGTATTAATAAATCATTTTACATATATTACCCTTTTATACTATTTTATCCTTATTTACCGTTCCTGGCATATCCTAAGGTGGGGATCATACCACCCACGCGAGTAATAGAGTGCAGAAAGGCCTGCACTCTACTTGTGAGTATATTTTATTTATTTTAACTCTTTTGCTAACTACCTCACCAGAGAGCATTATTGGCTGTTTTTATTTCTTTTCATTTGAGAATTGGACACCAGCACTCTCCAGGAGGACAAGCACACCCATAAGCGGAGGGTTATCCGCTGTATGCCCATCATACTAGAGCTGGTCTTAGCTCATGGAAATGTGAGTGTGAAATTTATATTTTAATTTCACGATTAGTTATCTATACACTCTGCACGACTGGTTCTTTCCCATTGTGTCTTTCATATCGTGAGATGGACGACTCTTAACAGAGAAGACACTACACCAGTTGAGACAACATTTTTAATTGGGACTCTTTTATATTACATTCTGTAATCACATATAATAATTTTATTTGCATAATATTAATTTATTCCTCTTGGCGCAGCCTTTTCTTTGTTTTTGTGTACGTTCTAGCTTACCATAACCAGCTGCTATCCTCTGCTACCTCTCCTCTTAGAAAAGTATATTCACCCACAATGCATCATTCTGCGTGATTTTATCTTGTAGTCTTACCTCCAGCATCTTGGATTCCCCAGCTATCACCATGCACAGGACAGGAATTTCAATGCTTCCTTTGCCTGCAAGGAAACCATTTAAACCTTAACAACATTCTGTATTCAATGAGCCAATCCATATTTTACATTTTCATTCACAACAAGTACAAAGTGTACATCACAAAACCATACTCCCTGTCCAGCTAATTTACTCCATTATTATTGCTTTAAAAACCTGTGCTGTTTCCTGAGCCTAGCCTGTTTAAACTGCACCAAAAAAAATTGTGCCGTTTATCTGAATGCCATGTAACTGTTGTACTATAAGTGCACTTAAGTTTTTGTATTCGCTGTTGTGGCAGCAAAAGTTGTAGTTTACTCTCTTGCGAAAAAAAAATTCTGGGGTGCATTGAGTGCACTAAGCATGATGTGGAGTATAATTATCAAGTGATATGGCCAGGATAATGAAACCTAGTTAGGTGTGTATATGGAACTATGATAGAGGTATAACAGCTTTTAAATAGAGGGTGCTCTCCTACCTTGTCTTTCTTATGTAAAAACATGTTCTACTTAAATAAACACTATAGCGTTAGGAATACAAACATGCACTATTACGTTTTCTGCCCCCTTCTTTGCAATAAAAAAGAGGTGATTTATTTACCATTCGCTATCCGCCGCGCCAGCCTCCTTGCTCCTGCCCTGCCTCACTGGCTGAGATAATCAAGATTGCTGATCTCAGGTAATTCAATGCTACACGATAACGAAGCGTCAGGAAGCTTGTTCACATACGTGTCCAATAACTGAGCTGTGCCAATCAAACGCTCTCTATGAGCACTTTTCGATTGGAAACAGAGTCAGACTCAGTTCTCACAGGGGAAGAGTCTCCAGTAATTGTCATAAAACCAGCCACTTGAAGTGTGCTTAACCCTTCAATGAAAACACTGCCGTATCTACTAAATGCCAATGTTATAATGACAGGGGCACATCACCCAGACCACTTCATTGAGACAAAGTAGTTTGGGTGCCTATAGTAGCCTTTTAATGGATGTCAAATATTGTATTATTATTAAATAATGCATTTCAATCTATTATTAAATGATACATTTCTATTGTATGCAGGGTTAGTCACTAAATCATAAATTTCAAATTTTAGGTCAAAACCAGGAGACATTCTCCAGGTCATCTGTTTTCCCTTTGAATTCTCGACAATTCTCACTTACATAAATTGCCCAGTTAACCACTCAGTTAGTTTATTTCTACTTTAAATTTAAAAGCCAGCATAAATAAAGCTTACAATAGACAAAACAACCAGTGTCACCCATTCCTGTCGTACACTCATTCCTGTCTAACTAGTCATTTTGTCATATGAGATCATGCGTAGAATGACAATGGAATTCCAGGAAACAGCTCATACAAAAACATTATCCATTAATAGGAAGCTGAGGAACAGAGCCACTGGCTTCGGTCAAGGAGATTATTTACTGTAAACAGCTTTTACTAGGAAGGGGCAAGAAACAGAGATAAAAAATGAATATTGAAGGACCACTAAAGTCAGGGCCATTTTATCTCAGTGAAGTGGTCGGGGCACAATGGTCCTGTAACCTTTATCATTTGAGATAAACTATCGCTGTTTTGCAGAAACAGTGTGTATTTACCTAGACTACAGACCGTCTTTCTTTAAAGGCCCACTATAGGCACCCAGACCACTTCAGCTTAATGAAGGGATCTGGGTGTCAGGTCCAGCTAAGATTAACCCTTTTTTCTATAAACATAGCAGTTTCAGAGAAACTGCTATGTTTACACTAGGGTTAATCCAGCCTCTAGTGGCTGTCTCATTGACAGCCGCTAGAGGGCTTCCGCGCTTATCACTGATTTTCACAGTGAGAAGACGGCAGCATCCATAGGAAAGCATTCAGCCGGTGACGGAAGAAGAGGGAGGAGAGGAGGAGGAGAGCTCCCCACCCGGTGCTGGAGAAAGAGGTTAACCCCTTCCTCCCCCTACAGCCCGGCGGGAGTGGGACCCTGAGGGTGGGGGCACCCTCAGGGCACTATAGTGGTCCTTTAATTAACTTATGTATTTTTATAGACATATTGCAAACATAATAATTAACGGAACACTACAGCATTGGGAAACAAACTTTTATTACTAACAGTTCAATGCCCATGTCCCTAGTTATATATAGTATTTTTTTTTTTAATTTTTATAATGGGCATTTGTTGAGTTTAGTCACGGTTTGGGTACATAATATATAAAAATTTGGATTTTTTTTTTTTTTTTTAAATACGCTTTTTTGGTCTGTATCATTTAGTAACAATATGTAGCAGTTGTAAACTGCCAGGGGTTCAAAACCATTTTGCAAAGCATTAATCTAAAGGTTAAACTGATGCTCAAAAACATATAAAAATGACAACGTATACTATATAAAGTACAGTAATTCGGGGCTGAGGCACAGCCTTTGGATGGATTTGTTCCATTTAAAAAAATACTGACTAGCAACACATTTAACATTCTGTGGTTGCAAGACGGCATTCAAAACTTAAACATTAAAACCCAAGAAGTCCTGCGATTTTCTTAAGCTAAACAGGCTGGGTTCAAAAAGACCCTTTCCTATAATATATTTTTCTTGTTCAGTAAACAATTTGTACAATAAATCCCTAATATTTTTTTTTTTTTAAACTAAAAAGGATTTTTTTTTTTTTTAAGCAGACAAACCCAACCCACCTCCCGCTCCAGTTTTCTGCCTTGAGATATGTTCCTCCAGCCTAAATCGAAAGCTTGTTTCTCCTCCAAGTTGCTCGTTCGTTCCATCATCCGCCAGTAGGTAGACAGAGTAATTGTTGTCCAACGAATAAGTAGCCCCATCCAAAGCCTCCATATAATACATTGCTGGAGAAGATCCCTGTTTAAAATTAAAAAATTAAAATAAAATAAAAAAAACACATTTAATTAATTACTAGGGGAGCAATGTACTTTTACCCTCTATAGCATGGCATATGTGTCAATGAGTTTAATCACTCAGAAAAAAATTCTGCTAGTTTTTCCATTCATACATCTCTTTTGAGCAGATTATTACAGTCACAAGAGACACCAGACACAAAATATTGTTTAACTCCTCTTAAAAACGAAACATCTCATGTACCCCAATTCTAAATTCACCCAAGTCTAAACTCAATAATCCTAAATAGCCTTTATACTACAAGTTTGACCTCTTCCAAACTGCTAATCTTCTTAACACCAAACACCATATGTAATATAACTCTGACATTAACCACTCGCCAACCTTAAACTCTCACCTCCCATCCCCTTTACCCTAACCACTTCTAACATTATCATTAGGTAAAATATAGTGTTAGGAATACAAATCCAGCCCTGATCATACCTTAGGATTGACCAGGCTCTGACGGTTATGCACAATGCCCCAGGGTGCAATGCCCATTGCAACAACTTTGGTCCGTGAGTTAAAGTTAGCAGTGGCATGATCTCTCACAGCCTCACCCACATATTTCCCAATGCCAACCTGCATTCCACCGGTCATGATCCAGGCACCTAGGAAGAACAGAAATAAAAGGAAATCTATTATTATGCTTTCTAGATAGACCTTAATAACATCAAGCATCAAGGTTTGTTGAGTTTTGTACAGAAGCTCAGTATGAGCACATGGTTTTTATTTGGCTAATATATACTACTTGAGGACATCTAATAATATCACGTTACTTAAAAAAGTTATAACTATTAAAAGACCACTGTAGGCACCCAGACCACTTCAGCTTAATGAAGTGGTCTGGGTGCCAGGTCCTTCTAGGATTAACCCTTTTTTAATAAACATAGCAGTTTCAGAGAAACTGCTATGTTTATTATATGGTTAATCCAGCCTCTAGCGGCTGTCTCTTGACAGCCGCTAGAGGCGCTTGCGTGCTTCTCACTGTGAAAATCACAGTGAGAAGACGCCAGCGTCCATAGGAAAGCATTGTAAATGCTTTCCTATGAACTGGCTGAAAGCGCGTGCGGCTCCTGCCGCACATGCGCATTCAGTCAATGATGTCGCTATGGAGGTGGAGAGGAGGAGGAGAGCTCCCCGTCCGGCGCTGGAGAAAGAGGTAAGATTTTAACCCCTTCCTCTCCCCAGAGCCGGGCGGGAGGGGGACCCTGAGGGTGGGGGCACCCTCAGGGCACTATAGTGCCAAGAAAACAAGTATGTTTTCCTGGCACTATAGTGGTTCTTTAATCAGGAAGCCGGGAGCTTAGACCAACATCCACTCAATAAGTACTCCAGGTTAACTTGCAAGGTTAACTAACGTTACAGAATGTTCTAATAAGTCAGAGACAGTTGTGATTGCACATCTTAACTAACCAATGTGGGCAGAAGTGGGAGCTTAATAAACGGAGCTAAACGTTTAAACAATGACATGGACTAGAACTTACTAATAATGGTCAAACAGAAGACATAGTGGAATAAAGCAGATTTGTTTTCATAAAAAAAGAGACTTTAAAAATACTAAAATATTACACTGTAAAATTGTAGACCTCAGGCAAAAGGACTAAACAGGATATAGGAAGGACACTTAAGAATCTGAAAAGCTCTTAATTATAAGCTCACAAATTGCGGTCGGGTGTAAAAGTAAAATACATGACCAGTCCCCAACTCTGCTACTGTGAAGGATTAAGAATGAACATTCCGCTACGTGGATGAAACCTTCTCACCCCAAAGCAATGCAAAAGAACTGCCCAAAGTCTCAACTACCGCAAAACAAATGTAAGAGATGACAAGCTGCCAGATCCAAACAATATTAACAAACGTTATAGCCCTGTTATTTCCAATAGCTTTTTTTTGCAAACATAATAGATGTGAGAAAGATTATTCACGTAAAATTTGGGAATTAAAAATAAAAAAACCTTCTAATCAGACCATTAGACACAACAAGAGTGGTTCACAATGAGAGGGAAAAAAAACAGAAAACAGAGGCCAGAAAAACATTCCAAAATTAACAGAGGGAGAGAGGGCATTAAAGATGGCATTACTACAACAAAATTGAAAAGAGGTTCTCCAAATGTAATTACCATGGGTATGACCAGCTAGGTTACTGACAGTTGGCATCTACTGAAATGTAGGTGGTGGTCTTTTTGTAAAGAAAGGTTTTTTTTAATACGGTATAGCAGGTATGGCATGACCTACAAGGTGGCAAGGGTAAGTAGAGTGTATACCTCTAAGGGAAGCTTCAAATTCTTTTTGACAAGTGATAAAAATATTCTCTAATGGTTTGTGCGTAGCGAGAAAATTCAACCTTTTCCCTGTAAGTGGAACGGAAATTCTGGTTCAGGAACCGAATACTAAGAACAAAAAAGGCGTGAAAATGAGACAATTAGTGTGTTGCGAAATATGTACATAATATAATACAATGTATATGTTTTGCAGCACACTGATGGGAGCATTGTCCAGCCATTTGGTCTACAGATCAAGTGGTAAAAGTAAACAATAGAGGGAAAAGTTCCTAAAAAAAAAAACCAAAAACAAAAAAAAAACCCACCTAGATTTATGTACTATATGTTTATTAAATTTATAAATATAGTTGTTTTTTTTACTGCTCCTACAATTTTCCCCTCGATTAGTCACTTCTTGAATTGTGAATAAAATAAACATTTATTGCTTATCCCTTAACCATAAATTGTCTTTTGTCCTCATCAATTAACCGTATTTTTGGTGCTACAGGCCGAATCCAGAATCATGAGCCAAATGGAAAACATTAGGCATTGAATGTTTCAGGTGGTTCATAATTTGGGCATATTTCTGCTCGGAGTTAGGGAATTAGGCCGCACACTTGATTCATTTTGACAGATATTTCACCCTCTCTGTCTCTGCAGCAAGCCCAAGATATAATCTATGTCCTCAGTTAAACTGCATGACTGGAGTCCATGGGATAAAAAAAACAGCCACCCATAAGGTAGAATCAGAGGCACCTAATTGGTGCTGCCCAAACACCTGTTGCAATTTAAGTATATTTAATCCTTAATCTCTCTTTCCCACTCCGTTTCATTCAACCATTTCCCTATTTTTTCCAGATTTTCAATGCAAGAAAATGCACTTTAAGATGCATAGTGTTTTGTTGTCATGGCAGAGTTCCAGATGCATGCACGCCGCATTAATTGAAGACATGTAACAATTTATGAAAGAGTTGTCCAGGATTAAAATTCACAGCAATATGTGGATTGCATGAGAATAACAGATCACAGCAATGTACATTATTTAGACCTAGAGGACAACTCAATAAAGGTTTAAAACCTGTCCGATCCTTCTAGACTCAAGGAAGAAAGCAATCAAGAATTTGTAAGTTGTGCACCCAATCAGACAAAGCGTTAATGTTTCCTTTCTCAGATGAATACATTCTCAGTCGCTATATTAGGTAACACAGTTTGTAATCGTGCACTGAGGCTCGATTTGCATTTCTCCACAAACTCATGACAGTCTTCTGACCAATGCAAATCTATTCACAGGCAGTATACATAACTTTTCCGAACACAACACAATACTTGTCTGATTTAAAAAAAAAAAAAATTGAAAGTAAATAAAAATGGTGATAGTGCACACTGTGGGTATAGTTACCAAATAAAATTATATGTTCATAAAATAAGCAAGAACAGATACTGCCAATAATATAAACATAAGAGAACATGCCATACTGTTGTATGCAGAGTAATTAGTCTGGACCTATCCCAAATGGGAAACTCACACTTTATAGAGCCAATTAGAAGTCGGCTCTGAACGCAGAAGGAACACATCAGTGATCAACAGGTAACACAGTCAATCATGTGTTGAGGTTCGATTTGCATTTCTCCACAAACCCATGTCAGTCTTCTGGACAATGCAAATCTATTCAGAAGCAGTAAACATATCTTTCCTAAGTTCAAGTCTGCATAGTGTGCTTGTTCATGGTATAGTTAAGTACTACTAAGGACTCCAGAAGCCTTTTAACATAGCATAGTTGGTATGGCACCAAAACATTTCTCAAGATATGGCCATGGGTATGCAGAGTCCACTCCTTGAATGATAAGCTGGGTATTCATTTGTTATTCAGGTTACTACCTTGGGCTTTTACAGAACCTCACAGCAGATCTGGCCTTGGGTCAAATCCAAGGATTATAGATAATTAATTTCAAATATTTGGGAGATCAACACTAGGATTGTTGAAAAGCTCACAAATGTCCATAGATACTGGATACACAAAGATGAAAAATAAAACTGCATTTCTTGATGTCCCTAACATAAATGTGAATTAAATATTTCTTAAAACTCATAACCGGGTGGCATTTAATTTAGCCTTTTTACTATATAGTTTAAATCGTTCTTTAACGATGGACCAGGAGTCTATTCTAGAACAACAAAGCACTCTGGAATAAACATTGGAAACTATCGGTTTTAGGTTATTTTTCCGAATTGTTGACCTTTATATTCTACCATTACCATTTTTGATTCTAGATCTTTGAGCTCTGACCTGTGCTCTGTGCTGCTTTGACCAGTCCCTTTCTCAGGATGTCTTTCAACCAGGTTTTCATCTTAAAGTCTCCATCACCTCCCACAACAGACACAACCAGGTTTGGTGGTGGGATCTTCCAGTGAAGAGTAATCAGGTTGTACACAACAGCTGGGTCGGTCTCATTGGAGAGGCGGATAAACTGAAATAATAAATAGCAGTAAATTAGAAAACCTTTTCAACGTTCATCATCTACGAGGATCATCTATTAAGGGATTGTCAACGCCAACACACAGTATTTTTACACAGAACAGATTGGTATTTCCAATTCATTGCAGAATAGAAGATAGAACAAATGTAGCGAGTAAAAAGGCAATATCACACTAAGTACAATAGGCATTCATGCAGACAATAAAGGATCATATATAATAATATAGAGTGAAATATAAATAATGTAATGGGATGTTTTGTTGTTTTTTTTCTTTTTGTAAACAAACAGCCAGCATTTTCAATTTTTTTGCCACGGTCTGTAACTTAGACCTCAATTTAAAATTATTGGATAAGATTTTCAAATTATTTAATATTGTAAATGATTTTTATTTAAAAAGAATAAAATAAAAATATGAATATATATTTAAAAAATATTGTATATAAAAAAAATATAAAAACTTTTTCCAAGATATTAAATCATTTTAAAGAGTGTATTTTACAATATTAAATCATTTGAGAAGCTTATCCAAGACTTTTAAATCGACACCTTATCTGGGTACAGAAGCTGGGAATCTCACAGGAGATTTGAGATGAACTATGCTGAAGCATTCACTTTCATGCCGATTCTGTGCTTCATCCTGTCTTCTAAAGCAGGGTTCTCCAAAATCTGGCCCTCCAGATGTTGATGAAACAAAAACTTGCATAATTCTTTGAATGAAATAGATAGCCAGAGAATCGTGGGGCAGTAGTTCAGCAACATCTGGAGGGACAGAGTTTGAAGAAACCTGTTCTGGAGTAAACTCATGGTGGACAAGTCTAAAATGTGAATGCTAAATTAAAGTCAACAGTGTGGTGGCCAATCAGGGCCTATATTCAAACAAGTGAAAACTGTAAAGACATGAGCTGTGATAGACAGCAATTTGCCTTCTGGTTTTTCATAGGAAAGGGTTGAGGAAAGTAGCGGCTACTGAAACGTAAACACTTTGTTATTGTAGCAGAATGTGCATTTATTGTAGTTATTATTATTATTATTATTATATTTATTGAGCGCCGTCAAATTCCGCAGCGCTTTACAATGGGTGGACGAACAGACGTAGTTGTAACCAGACAAGTTGGACACACAGGAACAGAGGGGTTGAGGGCTCTGCTCAATGAGCTTACATGCTAGAGGGAGTGGGGTAAAATGACACAAAAAAGGTAAGTATAGTATTAGACTAGTGACAGTTGCAGAAGAGGAATCAGTCAGGAGCTATTAACAGTTTAATTGATACGCTTTTATGAAGAAGTGGGTTTTTAACGATTTTTTGAACGAGTGGAGACTGGGTGAGCATCTAACGGAGGAGGGAAGCGAGTTATTTATTGAATGTAGGTAGCAAAGTGTTTGTTTTACAATAATCAGTATATGGTTTAATGATTTGTTATTTGAAGAGTATGATAAAACATGATAATAAACACATTACAAAAAAAGGAACGGGAGGGGCTGAAAATGTGGATCTCCAACAATGCTTGTAAGACATTACACATTCAATGTGAATTTCAAACTGAAGGCAGAAAAGCTGAAATAAAAGTATAGCTGACTTTTGAGAATTGTTTTGAGTTTATTTGTGCTATTTTGACCTTAAATTTGAATTTTAACCCTCATAACTTGACTAAACATTTTTTTTCTAAAATGTTTCATTCTCAAAATGCTAAATTTATCAGAGAGGTTACTGAGCATTACTAGTGCAAAAATATAAAGAAAAAAATAAACATTCTACCAGATGTGCATAATGGATCAATACGTCACAATGTTCAAGATTACTCTTTTTTAAGAGCTAAAAATATAAACAGCATTCAAAGCAACATTAGCACCAGAACAGTAAGTGCTTCCTAAACAACGTTATATTTCACCATGCTGCCCTTTCCGGACGATCGGAAATTACAGATTTTGTAGCTAGAACAACAATGATGGATACCTCTTAAAGCTACAAATGAATATTTTTTTCCCTGTTTGGCTTTTGTTTCACCGACAAATATGCATCTCATTCCAGCAGGGAACTGAAGTTGGTTGCAGAGATAGGCAACCTTCGGCAGTCTATATGTTATGGACTACATGCCCCATAACGCTCTTACAGCCATAATGTTGGCAAAGCATCGAAGGAGATGTAGGTTGCCTATCCCTGGTTGAGCCACATATCCAACCAACTTAAATATACATTGTCAATAGTTTGAATGGGATAATAAAGCTAGCATGTTCACAAGTTCAGGACCAGTTTTGCAAGTAGGCAGAGTCGGGGGTTGTCTGAGTGGGGGCAGGTAAGGGTACCTGAGATTTCTGCCCCGTCAGGCACCTGACATGAGAATATGGCCTTCATGACACTCAAGTCTGCATTTCACTTTTAATTATTATGTTATTATTTATATAGTGCCAACAATTATATAATGTGCTCAGTTGCTCACTTTACTGGGTCCCCAATGAACTCCCACCACAGATTTGCCTGAAGGGACAAACTTACAAGCATGTGACAAATTACATGGCATGAGCATACATTTCTAAATTATTTATTACTTTGTGGCAAACTTTAACTTAAATTTAATTTTAAAAAAATATACATAATACCACAATTAAATGCTTCTTTTTAGTGCTGGGCTAAAAAAAAAGTCAGAGTCTTTCATGTGACAGGTACTCTTTGAAATTTTTCTACTGTATCGTGATGGCTTAAACTTATTTAAGTTTAGGTTTAGATTAGGTATTTTTAATAAAACTAGCAAAATCTGTCAGCAGTGCACCAAAGTAGCTGTTTAGTAGATAAGGGAGGGCGCTGGATTTTCATTTTCACTGTACTTATTGGCCCCCAGCAGCACCCCATTTAGGTTCAGGTGAGTGCAGCCAGCCCCTTGGCTTAAACTTATTTAACTAGTTTATCTGACAATTCACAGAAATATTTTTTGATATTTTTAACCACTTTGATGATAACATAACTTGAGAAACACCGTACTTGAACGTCTTTTAAAAAAAAAAAAAAAAAGTTTTTTATTATCAGACATCGTAGATGCCATATAGAAAAAAAGGAGTAGGGTCGCACTCGGCCACAATGTTTCAACCCAGGGTGCTACTGAGCATGGGTCAGCAAATCTCAAGAAATATATATGAATAAGAAAATCTCAGGCACTCACTGCGATTGCTTCCAGGCAGATTTATTGCAACGTTTCGACCTGTTAAGGTCTTTATCAGCTTGATAAATCATATACATGACGCTTGGGAGTGTTTTTGGTCGATAAGATTCTGTAATTAGGCCCATCCTAATTGTCAGCACCAGGCCCACTAGGCTGTTAATCTGGCCCTGCCTATGGCATCTACGATGAATAAGAAAATCTCAGGCACTCACTGCGATTGCTTCTAGGCAGATTTGTGGCAACCTTTCAACCTGTTAAGGTCTTTATCAGCTTGATAAGCTGATAAAGTCCTTAACAGGTCGAAACGTTGCAATAAATCTGCCTGGAAGCAATCGCAGTGAGTGCCTGAGATTTTCTTATTCATCGTAGATGCCATAGGCAGGGCCAGAATAACAGCCCAGTGGGCCTGGTGCTGACAATTAGGATGGGCCTAATTACAGAATATCAGCATTGGCCAGGCAGCCTCAAATACTGGCTGTGCCAATAAAATACAAGCCAGGTGGAAACCATAAGTAGTAGTGTAGTAGATAGTGTGTATACTTTTTTTTAAATCAATGGGCCTATTCCATGGGCCTGGGCCTGGGCCTGGAGCTGCAGCTCCATCAGCCCCTATGTTAATCCGGCCCTGGCCATAGGCACAACAACAAGATAGTTACAATGCTATTTTTAACAGAAGGTGGCTATGAAATACCTTAAAGGGACACTATAGTCACCAGAACAATTACAGCTTATTGAATTTGTTCTGGTGAGTAGAATCATTACCTTCAGGCTTTTTGCTGTAAACACTGTCTTTTCAGAGAAAATGCAGTGTTTACATTACAGCCTAGTGATAACTTCACTGGCCACTCCTCAGATGGCTGCTAGAGATCCTTCCTGGGTCATGGCTGCCTAAAATGCATCCAAACTATCAGTGTCTCCACCCTCTGCATGCAGACACTGAACTTTCCTTATAGAGATTCATTGATTCGATTCATCTCTGTGAGGAGATGCTGATTGGCCACGTCTGTGTTTGAAATGTGCTGGCTCTGCCCCTGATCTGCCCCCTTGTCAGTCTCAGCCAATCCTATGGGGAAGCATTGTGATTGGATCAGGCTACCACTTCTGCTAATGTCAGCGGGCATGTCTACAGGAAACAGGGACAAAGCCTGCAACTCTAGACTTGAATACAAGTAAGATTTTACTATTTAGGGGGAGGCATGAGTGGGACAGGGGGGATAAATGGCAGTTTCAACCCTATAGGGTCAGGAATACATGTTAGTGTTCCTGACCCTATATTGCTCCTTTAACGAAAGAGGAGAGATAGAAGGAAGAAAAGCCATTGCAAAGGAAAGAAAAATTACTGTATTTTTCCATGTATAAGACTGTTTTTTTTTCTAATTTTTTTTAGTCTAAAATTGGGGGTAATCTTGTACACGGAATGCCAATGCAGGGGTTAAAAAAAACAAAAAACACTTGTGCGCGAGGCCTGGCAGCCAACCAAGCTAGTCGCATTTGGCTGAAGCTCTTTCCAAAAATCTAATTATTAAGCCAAATACTTAAGGTACTTACTGAGCACAATTTGGGCACAAAACCTGGCTACTCCCTGACAGAACACTTAGCGAAATATTGGGTTCTCTATTGCCAGGTTCCTGCGGGCATAGGCTGTGTTGTACACCGCTGCGGCCTGCTGACATACTTGAAGCGGAGGAGCCGCTTCTCTATGAAATTGATCGATTTTCTGTGTGCGAGTCTGGGAGATCTTGCGCAACCGCATGTTTCCTCACATCACTCTGGACTATGCCAAGACCTCATGGCTCCGGACTACAGATAGACGCCGCAGTATAAGGCCTTGCCCGGACATCCCCCGTAGGGTATTGTGGGCAGAGGGCATTGTTGCCGCCAACAGCAGAATGGGGGTCTAGGGAACCAATGTCCGGACCTCGGGTATCGGCCTACCGGAGTGTGAGATGGATCAGGACTGGTGGGGGATACTGATCAGCCAAACTGGACTAAAGTGCTATAGATGTTTAAAATATGTATTTCTTCATTTTGGGTTGAACAAATAGGGGTCATCTTATACATGGGGGTGTCTTATACACGGAAAAATACGGTACTTAAAATACCTACATTGTGAGAAATTGCTGAACTTTTGATTGTTGAAATTGCCGAACTGAATGTTTTTAAAAACAAAAACACAAACTACAGGTATTGTGCCTTCTGAAGAATTATGGGTGGGTTAACTTAATTTATTGACAATTATTAAACAGTTCATATGAAGTGCCTACAGGAACCGTTTTATGATGATTACTGAATAGAATATTGTTTCACTTACAAAGTGAAAAAAAACACAAGCACGCTCTCACTATGTATTCGATACAGTGTTATTTCCATAATACAATATAGATTAATATTTACAAGAACAATGTATTTGCTGTTCCAAAGAAGTGTTTAAAAAAAAAAAAAAAAATCAAGTGGAATTAATGTTCTTATCTAAGGAGTTAAATACTGGAAACTTGGCCACAATTTGGAGTTCAGGACAATTATGAAACGACAATGAGCCTCGCAATCCAAGGAGTGCAGAAATAAAAGCCAAAAAAATATATGTAATGATTAAAATATCAGCCAAAACCAATAAAGGCTACAAGAAAAGTCATAGCTAAAGGGATTGTTTTACTAAGATAAACAGAAGGTTAAAGCATCAACGGTTGTGCTTTTTAAAGGACCACTATAGTGCCAGGAAAACATACTCGTTTTCCTGGCACTATAGTGCCCTGAGGGTGCCCCCACCCTCAGGGTCCGACTACCGTGGCGCTGAGGGGGGAGGAAGGAGTTAATCCCTTACCTTTTTTCCAGCGCCGGGCTCCCTCGGTGCTGGGACTCTCCTCCCTCTTCTGATGTCCCTGGCTGAATGCGCATGCACGGCAAGAGCCACGCGCGCATTCAGCCTGTCTCTAGGAAAGCATAGGAAGCGCCTCTAGCGGCTGTCAATGAGACAGCCACTAGAGGCTGGATTAACCCATAAGTAAACATAGCAGTTTCTCTGAAACTGCTATGTTTACAGCAGGCAGGGTTAAACCTATCTGGACCTGACACCCAGATTAAGCTGAAGTGGTCTGGGTGCCTATAGTGGTCCTTTAAGTTTAAATTCAGTACAAAGGGACTCCATACTGAGTAACAAGGTGCCATTATTGTTCAGTGTAAAGTGTTGCAAAATAAAACGTGAAGGTGAGCAGCCAGGGGATCATTGACCTCAAATAAGGGTGTATAGTTCCTTGCTATCCCCTTTTAAATACCAATTATTCATTGTATTATACCAATGTCACATATATTGAGAAATAGCCACAGACAGATATTTTGTCATTCTGCTTTAATTTTGGGGATTTCCTTCCTAAACATACCAGCTCATCACTTATACATAGTATTCAGTTTGTTACTTACACTTAAAGGGACACTATGGGCACCCAGACCACTTCAGCTCATTAAACCCTGCAATTGTAATTATTGCAGGGTTAACTCAACTACTAGTGGCTGTCTACCAGACAGCCACAAGAGGCACTCCCTGGTCGCTAGGCAGCTTCTGGACATCCAGCATTAGTTCAATGCCTTCCTTTGTGGTTGTCCTAATGCGATTGCGGCTATCACAGCGCATGAGCATTAAGTCCCCAAGTTCGGCCTCACCATGCTCCGGGGGACTTCGGCACTAGATTCAGGTAAGCGACAGAAGGTATTTTTATCCCTTCTGTGCTGCAGGGGGAGCGTCTGAGCGAAGGGGGCACCATAGTGCTAGGAATACAATGTTGTATTCCTAGCCTATAGTTTCCCTTTAAGCAAGCCTTACGAACGGTTTCTTTGGTGTTTTCACTGTGATACATGGGATACATATCGCTCTCATGTTCTAATCAAGACAGCAGTTACAAAACTTTCTGCACATCTGGTAGGAGTATAATTTAAAATACCAATAATTCTTAAATGTGAATTGTCAGAAACTGAAAGTAAATTAAATGTGAATTCAAAATTTTAGAAAATCTTAAATACAGGTGGAGAAATTTTCCAATTTGGATATATTTTAGTTTAGTTGTTTTAGCAGATACAGATTTACATTAATTGAGATGAGGCCAAAAGCAACATTGCAGCCTAGAGAACCCCAGGTCACCTCTTACAAAGCTGAAGCAGGAAATGTGCCATTCATTTTACTGCCCTGAGGCTGCATTCTTCCAGAGCTGAATATAGTGGCATTCTGTTAAAAACACACGAAAAGGAATAACCTATATATATATAGTCGCTTTAGTTTTGTTTTGTTATTAATTTGTAATCATGAGCATTAATCATATTCTGTACTTACTGCTTTCTGTCCATCACAATATACAAACTTGTCCTGAGAAACTGATCTTGTATTTTTGTTCCTGCGAGCTATCTCTCTGCGCACCATTCTTACGTTTGCATCGGCTCAAGTTCTGGTAAACTACACCGACTGGTATAAACTTTTTTTTTTTTCTTTACTTTATCTGATGCTGGTGCATCGTACAATTACACCAACGTCCGTGTTTTAGAAAATTCTGCAGATGAAAGTCTACTGCTAAAAATCAGACTTTTAAACATTTGTTGCAATATCCCCAGGAAACCAAAGTCTGCTTTGTTCTGTGCAGATAATGCATTTGGTCCCTTTATCACATCTGACTGCCCGGCTGTAAACTTCCTACATGACCCTGAAACTCATTAACATTTTAACTCTTCTAAAAGGCATCGGAAAGATCCCATAATGTTACCTGACATTCTAATCCTAACTTACTAGACTGTAGGGTAGCCTTTTACATTTACAACCTGGTGGTTATGATTAGACCTTTTAAGTCGGTCTGGACTCCATGGCCAGAATATGTTGATAACTGCCGGCCGTTTGTCTGTCCTCCTATTGCGCAGTGCAGGCCATCTTTTTCTCTCTATCTGACCCTTTGTCAGACATCCCAAGTCTCCAGGAGACTCCCTTATGTGTAGTGTGTCTCCCTGACACCCTCATGTCTCATACAATGTCCTGGAAATAACACACAATCTGGCATACTCTATATATCAGATTGTGTGTGATTTCCAGGCTATTATATATGCTAAATACCCTTAATAAATTAAATGGCATTTAGCATATATTAAAATTACCCACTCAATGAATTTTACTTCTAAACAATGGCCCGGTCGGTTGCCCGGCCCGTTAAGAGCCTGACCAGGCCCCTGCAGTATCTGCTGGCTGGAAGAAAGTGATAAACAGCCTGTCACTTCGTCCCAGCTAAGAAGACAGCCAGCAAGAGGGAGGAGGAGGCTGGAGCACACAGGCAGCATGGAGGCAAGGAAAGGCTGTGGGGAAGCAGCTATATGCTCACACCCATCAGCTTCAGCCAAGACACTGTATGTGAGTGTGTGCCAGTGTGTGTATCTGTATGTATCTAAGTGTTTGTATGTACCAGTCAGTGTATCTAAATGTGTGTATGTACCAGTGTATATATCTGTATGTTTGTGAGTTTGTGTGTGTGTGTGTGTGTGTGTGTGTATCTGTATGTCAGTGTGTATCTGAGTGTGTGTATCTGAGTGTGTCAATGTGTATCTGAGTGTGTGTATGTGCCAGTGAGTGTATCTATATGTATCTAAGTGTGTGTATATCTAAGTGTGTGTATATACCAGTCTGTGTATCTGTATGTCAGTGTGTATCTGAGTGAGTGTGTATGTGCCAATGTGAGTATCTATATGTTTCTAAGTGTGTGTATGTGCCAGTGAGTGTATCTAAGTGTGTGCATATACCAGTCTGTGTATCTGTGTGTGTTTGAGTGTGTGTGTGTATATCTGTATGTCAGTGTGTATCCGAGTATGTATTGGGGGTGCGCGTACGGGATGTGCAGTTGCTGGTGAAGCTAACTCCCTGAAATTAGCTTTTGCATGTTGGGACGTCTGCTCTGTTCTTCATAATTATCTTCCCATCTTAATTTGCCTCTTTTATTAATTGGTTCAGTAACGTGACCTTACAGACTGTACATGTTGCATTGCATATTAAAATAGTCTATTTATATAATGTGATTTCACTCTATGTAAATACTTGTATTTATGTAATTAAATGGAAAATTAACACGTACATTTGTAAACAGAAGGGATAGTCATCGTAGGTTTTGTTCATTATCATTTACTCAACGGACTTAGATTTTGCATTGAAGAACTCACAATAGGTGTGACAAAACAAAAGTGTTATTATTTGTTAGCCTTATAAATCTATATGATAAATCTATCATCTTACCTTACTGTGTTTCTTCCCAGCCCCGACAAACTCGATATCTCCATAGGCATCCGTGGGCTCCTCTGTAGTATGTTCTGCTGAGTTCCATTTGCTGACGATGGCTGCCCCGAAATTATCTTCCATTGCGACGGAAACATGGTTTTGCTTGGGGTTGCCACACTGGCACAGTTGTGCGGTGCTGCGTATTATAACATGGACATCATTAAGAAAGAACTAGTAACAATAAATAGATTTAAAACATTTCTAACTTTGAAGAGAACCTCTGGTGCCAAAAATCCTTTCAGTTTTTTTTTTTTCAATAGAGTGCTAATGGTTGGAAATTCAAAGCAAATTCAAATGTGATTTAAAATTTTAAGCCACAATAAAATATAATTTTATTTTCCGCTGGCCCATTTTGAACTGACATTTGAAATTCTCTGTGAATTTATTTCGAATAACAAACAATTCACATGACTGGTGTATAGTCGCCATATGGGCAGTCGGAACCTTGGACAAAAACCCCCCACATACCTATCCCAATAACACATTGACACTAGGGTATATGGGTCATATTGTCCACAGTTTTTATTAAACAAATATAATAATGATAATACCAATCATAATAATGATAATAATTTAACATATAAACATGGGTCATTGCCCCCATACTCACCCTCGCATCCGTATCCTTTTTTTAATATAAAAAGCAATGACTCCAACATAACTAACACACACATATATATATATATATATATAACAATTTTCAACCTTACTCCAACATGAACAAATTTAAGTGCCAACCATAAGTAACCAGAGCAGGGGTATACCCAGATACCCCTACCCCACCAGGTTTTGAGCCACCTCCAGGACTCGAAACCTACCAACCACTAGTGACCACAATTTTCCATGTTCATCACGTTCTTCATGGGAAGCCTATTTCCTCTTCCTCAGCTCCCTATCCCACCGCTGTGATAAAACGGGATAACCCCCATTTAAAACCAAATCTTAGGGAGGGTGGGTGGGACAAACTCCACCAGGTAGGAGATTAAAAGTGCTCATTCTAAAATGGCTACCAATTTAAATAGTCAAACCCCTTTTCCCACAACCCACCAGTCCTAGCCGCTTCCTCCTAAGCCCGCCTCCTAACCCCTGTCAAGGACCTTTTTTCGCTAAGCTGCGCTTCGGCTACATGGGGCTCCACTTTGTTGAATAATCCCGATTGAGTAAAATACTCATTGTTGTAATTTTAAATAATTATTATATTTTGATGATTTATTTCACTAGGTCATTAACAGCACATCTCTAAATTATGGCATTACAAATCTGGAGTGCGGACAATGCACTTATAATCAGTGGCACAGGCAGGAAGGTTTGGGGTTGCTCTCATTAGACACAATATCTAAAATTGGTAAAAAATTTTGTTATGAAAACAAAAGGTCGGTCCAGGTCTCGCAGTGCCACGTGCCAAAACCATGCCTAGAAAGCACTTATGCATTGGCAGGACATGATATAAGTGTGATGACCTAAGCACAGGGGTTGTGACATCATTTTACAAGCCCTTCTAAATGTAGTGTGGCACATATCCCTACTCTGAACTTTCATTAATCCTTTTAGAGATTTTGTTAGAGACAGTTGCGTGCCTATAACAAAGGATGAAATAGATATTGAGTTTCTAAACCATTTTTAACATACACGTAAGTCAGCAATTATCATGAAGTTATAGCTATAGGTTTACAGCTCCAGATTACATAGAAAGGTTCTCAACTTCGTGCCTTAATGATGCTCTTCAGGGTAGATTTTCAAGAAATTTAATTAGAGGGATCTTTTGAAATGACTGAGACACTAATTGGCAAACATGCAATGTTGGAAAAGTCTTGTCTCGATGAGATGATAACTTCAATGGTGGAACTAGCAATTGGTTGCAACTCTTCCATCTAGCAAAGTTCTGCCCAACTGATGGCCCACAGCCCACGTAAAGCCCGCTGAGTGCCTAAATGAGGCTAGAAACCCATTTTATTTTTCAATCTAATAATTTATTTTTACGTTTTAAAATGTATTTTATTGGTAAGCCTACAGTTAAATTGTAGACGCATATACTTAGTACTGAACATAATCACAGGCACTCTAAGAGTGGATTTAGTAACCAAGGAGTTTTACAAACCATGCAAGAAACTAACTGAAAGGTATACAATAAACCAGGAACTATAAGATGATTGATGCCAACCGTAGAAAGTTGCTTAGTGTTTGTTTAACCCCTCACCTGCCACGAGAAGTGTCTTCTATAAAAGTGGTACATGTTTTCTTTTTAAAAAGCCGTGGAATCCAGCTCTATAAAGGGAGAAAAGAAAAACGTTATTAAAAGATTGTTTTAAGAGTTTGTAATCACTTGTGAATTTATTAATAGAATGGCTACTCAACGAGTCGCAACATATTATAGGCAATAGCAATTCAAATAACACCAAAAAGTCTAGTCACCAACCAAGAAAGCAATTATAAACGGCTGACCCGGTGGCATTATACTCCTTCTAGAATTAGTCAAATGTTCCCAGGAACACAAAATGTTTGTCGGAGATGTGGGCAGGGGGAGGCGAATCCGACACACATTTGGTGGCAATGCCCTGAAATAAAAAAATGCTGGATTCGCATACATAAACTCATACAGACCATTATGCATAAACAGTTATCCTTCTCACCTGAATTTATCTTATTCATGTTGCCCTTCCACAACCTAAACAAAAAAGAAAACTATCTGACATCCCAACTGCTGATGACAGCAAATCACCTCATTCCAGTTTACTGGAAACAGACAAAAAAAAAAAACCCTCGGATAGGGAATGGGCTAACAGGGTAGAAAATATTAAACAGATAACAGTTAACTACTTAACCTTCGTCCAACTATGGAAGCCATGGTCACACTACTTGGGAGGGACAGAAAGAGATTTGGGAGAAGTAACCACAAATAAACAAAGTAATTAAAGAATATTAGACGTTCACATGTTCGACCAATAAGATGTATAACTATCAACGAAAAGTTTTTTAAAAGTATGTATAAACAGATGGGAGACGCAAATTTTAACCATAACGGTAATTACAATGTATTAGAAAAAAATTATAACACTTTTTTCTGTTGATGTTGAAATCTTAATGTTACAGATACAATCATTGTGTACAAAAACTTTATTATAAAAAAAAAAGTCTAGTTATATCAGCACCTGCAGTTCCTACATCCCCACACTGTCCCCTATGATAACATTTTATGTATTACTAGTCACCATTACTAGACATTTTATGTCTTGCATAAGCAGGACAGGCACATTTTAAAGGACTCAGACCTCAATAAAGTGGTTTGGAAGGCACATAAACTAGAGGTGCTCTCCTCCCAAAGCAGCATGTGCTTGGCGTAGCATGGCAATTTGCTATACCATGGATGGGTGGAAGCATTGGATTGATGATCTCATTAAGGGAAGCGGAGCAACCGTGGTGAAAACACCACGGTGAGGGGAGGGGGAGAGACAAATGAAACTTAGCTTCAATAACTCATGGGCAAGGGGGTGGAGTACAAGTAGCATTAGGAATACATGTTTCTTTTCCTAACGCTATAGCGTTCCTTTAAATAATTCCTCATTTATTGGGCATCAAATTAGAATTAAAAACAGATTTAATAAAGATTTTAATGTCAACAAACTTTTGACAAACAATTGGAAAGTAGCAAAGATATTTTAACAAAGAGATTTACACATAGACTATGATGGGTCTTGATAGCATACATTGTATGTGTCCACCCTAAAATAAGTCCAAGATAAAGTTCTAACATAAGTGAGAGGAGACCCATACACCAAAATTCAGGGACCACATGAAGAGGGCACTCGTCAGAGAAGCAACCAGTAGGTCAATGCTAACTTAAAAGAAGCTAATGGAATCCCTACTTGTAGTGGGAGAAAAGTTATTTTGGTCTACTGACAATCAAATGCTACACATTGATGGTCTTTATGAATAACAGGCGACAAGAAAGTTATAGGAGAAATTGATATATTAGACTATGTACAAATATTTCCAGAAGGCTTATAGAAGAAACCAAAAACAAAATGAGAACGAAAAGTAGTGAGAATTTTATTTAATTTTGCTGTCCAATTCTACACTTCCCTATTGTCAGTTCTGGGGTGGTTTTGGTTAAAATAACCCTTCCTATCCTGGTCCTTGACCCTTCAAACTTCAAAGAAATAAACTCTGTATGTACAGTGTTTCATAGTGAAACACTACACGTACAGACTCCAGGCACCATGACCACTTCAAATCTCTAAAGTGGTCGTGGTGCGTGGAGTAAGCCTTTAACCCCTTAAGGACCAAACTTCTGGAATAAAAAGGAATCATGACATGTCACACATGTCATGTGTCCTTCAGGGGTTAAAGTACTACTTTACCATTGTATTTTTTTTACATACATTATTTCTTGCATGTATTCTCTTTTTTAAGTATGCTTCATGTTAATATATTGATAGTTGCAGCCATTTTAAGTTTTATCAAAAAGACTGTTTCCGCACAAAGGACCTCGACTTATATTTTTGTATCTGCTTTATAATTCCATATTGTAACCCAACAAATGAAGGAAAGTAAAACAGAGGGGGTTGGGAGGAGGTAAATTCTCATGCAAGGCACGGAGCTGTATGTTCATGCAGTTTACTACGTCAAAGAATATGAAAATGAGATTTGCTTTGTGTACTGCTCCTTTTCATCAGGCTGTTATGTACTTTGCATGCGGTCTGGGGAATAATTATTACGTTCATAAAAGGGAAGTTTATTTGCATGGAGAAAGTGAATAAGGATATATTTTTAGTCACCAAAAAAAACACAGGTCCTTGACACTGAATTAAATCTTCTGCATACTCCGGAAGTCGTGTTAATGTGTAAAATGCAGACTTTCTCAAATTAACTTTTCAACGAAATACTAAAACAGACACTTTAAGGACCAACAACTGAAATATGTGCAAATCTCTGTTTTTGCAAAAAAAAATAAAAAATGTCTTGCATCATAGCCATGCCTCCTTATTGCTAAGAGACATGTAGTGATATGCTTATTATGCCTTACATCTGCCTGGGTGTTATCTCCTTCTAATGTAGTCTGCTTTGCTTCTAGCAGTCTAAGCAGAGTCAGTGGCTGGGTAGTGTACATACACCGATAAGGAAGTCTTTTTCTGAAATAAGGGGGCGTGGCTAAGAAGGCAGATTTATGGTTCTGCGTTCTGCAACACATTATTTTCATTTAATAAAGGGACACTATAGGCACCCAAACCACATCAGCTCACTGAAGTGGTCTGGGCGCCTATTCCCAGGTCCTTTATCCCTGCAATAGTAATTAAGAAACTGCAAGCAGAATACTTGGTTGTATAGGGAGAGGTATTAGCAGTAGAAAGAGAGAAGTGCTCATGCCATTGTACAGAACACTGGTGAGAGCTCACTTGGAGTATTGTACACAGTATTGGAGACCGTATCTCCAGAAGGATATTGATACTTTAGAGAGAGTTCAGAGAAGGGCTTCTAAACTTAAAGGAACTTAACATGTATAGCTTGGAGGAAAGACGAGACAGGGGGGATATGATAGAAACATTTAAATACATAAAAGGCAAAAAAAAACAGTAAAGGAGGAGAGTATATTTAAAAGAAGAAAAACTACCACAACAAGAGGACATAGTCTTAAATTAGAAGGGCAAAGGTTTAAAAATAATATCTGGAAGTATTACTTTATTGAGAGGGTAGTGGATGCATGGAATAGCCTTCCAGCTGAAGTGGTGGAGGTTAACACAGTAAAGGAGTTTAAGCATGCGTGGGATATGCATAAGGCTATCCTAACTATAAGATAAGGCCAGGGCAGTGGCGTACATACCAGGGTCGCAGGGGTCGCGGCTGCGACCGGCCCGGCCCACCAGGGGGCCCGGCCGCCCCTGCGACCCGGTATGTACCCACAGGGCCAGCCTCTTCTTCTAGGGGGCCCAGGAGGCGGCCACCTCAGGGCCCTCCGAGGCTGGCCCTGCTGACCCCGGCGGGCGGGCTGTCTGGGTGGCCGGCGCACGAGGGAGCACTCTCCCTGGCTGAGTGCTTCCTCTTCAGCTCCCTCGCGCACCCCACTGATACCGGAACCGGAAGATGACGTCATCTTCCGGCGCGCGAGGGAACTGAAGAGGAAGCACTCAGCCAGGGAAGAGGAAGCACGCACCGGCCACCCAGACAGCCCGCCCAGCAGACCAGCAGCACCACTGGACCCCAGGGAATCCCCTCAGCTCTCCAAAAGGTAAGGAGGCTGGGGGATTAAATTTAAAAAAAAATGTGTGTGTGTGTTAGTGTGTTTGTGTGTTAGTGTGTGTGTGTTAGTGTGTTAGAGTCTGTTATTGGGTGTGTGTCTGCTAGTGAGTGTCAGTGAGTGTCTGTTACTGAGTGTGTTTGATGTCTGTTAGACAGTGTGTGTTTGTCAGTGAAAGTGTATGTTTTGTAAGTGAGTGTGTGTGTATGTATGTCTGTCGCTGAGTGTGTCTCTGTCAGTAAATGTGTGTGTCTGTTAGCTTGTGTGTGTGTGTGTCTTCAGCATTTACCTTTCTCCAGCGCTGGACTCGCTTGGCGCTGGGGATCCCTCCGCCTCTCAGCTCCGAATGCACATGCGCGGCAAGAGGCGCGCGCGCATTTAAACTGCCCATAGGAAAGCATTACTCAATGCTTTCCTATGGATGTTCAGTGTCTTCTCACTGTGATTTTCACAGTGAGAATCGCGGAAGCTCCTCTAGTGGCTGTCAATGAGACAGCCACCAGAGGCTGGATTAACCCTCAGTGAAACATAGCCATTTCTCTGAAACAGCTATGTTTTCAGCTGCAGGGTTAAAACTAGAGGGACCTGGCACCCAGACCACTTCATTGAGCTGATGTGATCTGGGTGTCTGCAGTGGTCCTTTAAGTGTGTGTGCATACCGCGGTCGCGGGGTCGCAGCCCTGCAACCCCTGCGACCAGGTGCCCGCCGCCATGTGTTGCGCCCTGACCCGCGCAGAGTAAGCGCGCGGGGGGGGCCACGGATCAATTTTCGCACCGGGCCCCATGGGTCATGTGTACGCCACTGGGCCAGGGACTAATGAAAGTATTTAGAAAATTGTGCAGACTAGATGGGCCGAATGGTTCTTATCTGCTGTCACATTCTATATTTCTATGCAATAATTACTATACAGGTTAACTCCACCTCTAGTGGCTTTCTAAACCAGCATCACCTGAAACCCCATAGGAAAGCATTGTTCCTATGTGGGAAGTCCTAATGCGAGCTAGGTTATTGCAGCGCACGCACATTAGGTCTCCCCTGCCGACTGATGTCACAAGGTAGGAGCGGAGGCGGAGTCCAAACTGCGCCAATGGACATCAGCATTGGGCCCAGGTAAGTGACAGAAGTGGTTTTTAATCCCGTCGGTATCACGGGAAGGGAGGGTGGCACTATAGCACCCTTCCTTCAACTTTGTTTTTCTGACACTATAGATTCCATTTTAAAAATGATAGGCAGACAGCCAGTGGGTCACAGCCAGTGAGCCACAGTTTTGCTGATGAAGATCTGTGGATTATTTTATATTTTACAACACTGGTATGATTCTGTGCGTCTCAATGCAAGCCAGAATAGCTGCGAATAAGAGAAACACTGTGTTGGCAAGCCCCAATCAGTTTAACCCATGCACAGACAGAATGCCATGAGCTCAGATTGTGTCTAATGATGCACTGATTTATACAGCAGTGCAGGGAGACAAACTCAGGACTGAACTGCCAAATCCAGGACTACTGGAAGGTATGCCATCTGGTAGTATTATAACATAGTATCCAGAGATTAATGTGTCTTATTCTGTAATCAGAAAGTCAGCTTTTTTTTAATGGAGGTGCATTTACCAGCCCTCAGCACCATTCAGGGTCGTCCTTACCACTCGGGCAGATCAGTCATGGATCGAGGGCCCGAGGCAGTAAGCGCCCCGCGCTCATTTCGTAGATCTCCCCAGCCAGAAAAACATAGTCACATAGTCCAAGCCATAAAGTACTTTAGGGGTTAATACAGCATATCTTCTGTCTTACTTGATTAAAGTGCTGATTTCATGATAAATCAAAACTTTTATAAAGATCTTAAAATGTCACCATCCCGGCTAGTAAATCAGCCCTCGGACAAGCAGATGTGAATTTTTTCTTCATAGCTGTTCCTCTTCATGATAAGCGTTGCAAATGCTACCAATGATCTCCCAGAGGTGGGATGTAGCTGAAACAAGACCCTCTCGCTGATGGGAAGCGGTAAGGTAAGTACTAGCTTTTATATAGATCAACAGGATTCGATTGGAGGACTCCACACTAGAGTGTTCTTTTAAGAGTTTTTCACATAGATACTGTCTTGATACTGTCTTGAAAAATACTAAAAAGTGACAGCGAGCTTTAACCATAAAGTAGTCCTTATTTCAACATGATTTTAAATAATAAAAAAAAAGGTAAATAAGGAAACAGCATTTAAAAAAACATTAATATAAATTGCTAAATTTTCAAGTAATTAAAAAAAAAAAAAAAACACAACTAGAAGCTAATGTCGAGGCTCTTACTGCAGATCAGCTTGTACTGAAAATATCAGGTCACAGGTGTGTTTTAAATGACTGCGAATGTTAACAGGCATAATCCATGGTAATGTGGGAATTCAAAGTGAATTTAAAGCCAAAACAGCTGAACTGAAAGCACTACCGACTAAGAGCATTTCCCCACTTTGGCTATTTAAAAAAATTTACTTTGAATTGTCACTTTAGTAAATAACCCAGTCAAACTGTGCCACGTAGCTTTGGTGAGAGTTCCCTTTAAAGATGGCCCTGTGAATGGCTTTAACGAGGACGTCCCTTTTAGGCAAACAAGAATTAGCAAATCACTTGTGTTGGGATTGGTTCTTAAATAAACAGACTATAGCTAGGTGACAGCGCAGAGATAATAAGGCTATTCTAGGATTATACGGTCAGCCCTGGCCCATGCATTCTAGAATTATGTTTACACAAGGTAGCAACCTTAGGAGGTTACAGGTGCATTGAGAAAGGTTTATAAAAGGATCTGCTCTTTGAATGAGTCATAGAAATTTTCAAAAGACTGTTAAATGTCTATATATCTAGTTGCACCTAACTTAAATAAATAATCTTATTAATTCTCCATCAGTGGCTCAAACACAACTCATCTATATCAGCAATATTGTTTTTCTTATTGCAAAGTAAATATGGTCAGATAGAGATAACGTGTTATCTATGGGAAGAACTGCTCATTGCAATATCACAGGCCACGCATTACAATTCAGTGGCTCGTGTGTTGCATAAACCCTGCTTATAACAGCACAGCCATCACTCATGCAACAGCTATTGTTCAAGGAAGGGGTTCTCAAACAAAAGCTTCTACACCCCCAAAGCCCCAAATTTGATCAATATCAAAATAATAATTCTTTGTAATTATTACTACAGTGCTGTACAATTGAAATTCATGGACTGATGGATGCAGCAGTACCTTGTCCATAAGGGCACTCGGCTCCGCAAAAGTAAACAACTGCCATTCATTTTCTGTTTGGAATGGTTATCTTACAAATTTCCACTATGATTGATAAACATACACTCTACAGTATTGCAGTGCTATCATTTCCCATCTCCTTCTTCCACTGATAATGAATGACGGCTGTCTGGATAAGATGCTGAAAGCAGCTGAACATGTGCAGAAATTGGGTCGTTTTTGATAAATGCCCAGTCTGAGTGTATCTCAAGCAATGTATAATAGTTCAAAGGTCCTAGATTACTGGTATTCCACCGAGAACATCCTTTAGAAAGGTATGTACTATTTAAAAAAAAAATGTTTTCCTAAATGGCAGGCCAGAGATATTCTGAGAATATCTGCTGACCAGTTCCCTACTAAAAGGCCTCCACATTGAAGCTGAGGCTGGACGAGGAAGCATAGTGTCCAGGAGGGCAGGTCACATCAACAGCGAAAATAGTTTAATTCCATAAGGTGCGTAGGACCTCCAGAACCATAAATACTTAATTGAGACTAAGTTGTTATGGTGTCCAGAGTGGTCCTTTACGATTTCTCCCGTATGTATAACCCACCTAAGCAACCACCATATAATTTTGTATTTTTAATAGCTTAATTAATAAATCAAAAGGTGCACTTTTTGCTGCATCACCAGTACAGCACAGTGTCATGGTTTTTCTAACAGTAGCCTCTGGGCACGATTGCCCAGTTCTTTACCTATCCCAGAGTCTCTCACACATATAGCCTGTGTATCTCTATTCATTAAAAAAAACAACACATGAATGGAACTATGCAGCAGCCGATAGAAACGTATTAGCTTAGTCAGCAGCCTCATTTATGTCTTCTCATGAATACAACTTCTGTAGAACTGAATTACATTCATTCACATCTCATTATTCTCTGCTGGCCAGCAGTAGTTTTTGCAAAATTCTCTGCACTCCAGCCAAAACCAATATAAATATTCATGCTAATATTGGCTTAAAGATGACAGCCAATTCCTAGTCAGAAGCTGCAAATTCAGAAACTTCAAAAGAGCATGCCTATTTTATCTGTTTAACGTATTATTTGTTTGTATATTTTTAACGCATAAAGTATAAAATTCATTAACGGGGGGACATCTGCCCGGAGGATCCTAAAAAGTTCCCAATCGACACAAACGCTATAAGACAACAGAGCCGTGTTGATGATTTGAATGTGCACTCATTACTTATATGCTGCTTGTTTGTGCTTAGTTCTGCCAGCGGATTTCTGTAGGATTAAACCTCTGTGGGAATTAGATGATTCATGTTTTCATAAAATTACACATCCTTCGAAAGCAACCTCATATCTCCCAGGTGACAAACAGTGTTATCTAGCAAAGTATCTTAGAATAAAGGCAGCTTTCGTGGGGACTTTGCCAGGAATTACATCAAAGCAAATAGGTAGTTCCTCAAATTACAATCAATCCTGTAGGCTGGGTTCTAGATTGTTTAATACATTTTGCATGAATAGGGCTAAATGCATCGAAATAAGACTGGTTAAAAACAAAACCAAACGCACAAATAAAGAAAAACGTCCAACATAATAGACATTTTATTCCCCCCCCCAAAAAAAATCTCCCATGGTATTAGACGTTGAGGATAGACATCGTATTAACCTGCCATCAGTCTGGCTGTCAGCACAGCAACTACATATTAAATTAATTTGAAATAAACAAATATTTATAATTGTTAAAATTGTGCAGAAGATTCCGTGATATAGGAAAATACCCTGGGAGTAGTGTATACATTCCTAGCGCTTGTTTAGTTCAAATAGGCCGCGTGAACTCCCCAAATCACACTCTCTCTGGCCGTAAATTGATACTGTATTGGGGGGCATGGATCTATTTAAGATAAAGAGGAACAATAGGGAAAACGAGGGCAGGAAACCAAATATTGTGCAGTAGTGCAATATTATTGGTGAATTATATAAAACATATGCACTTAAAGATTTTAGGAGCTTTTAGTCAGCTCTAAATATGTACGCCTGGGCTGTACAACCCCCCTGCCTGTGGATATGCTTGTTGTCCTGGTCTTTTGGTGAAGAACTTTTATGGCCAGTACGTGACTTCTACTCACAGGTGTATATGGAAGTGGCCCATGTGTCCAGGCATTAGGGGACTCTAGCTTGGATGCACAGTAGTGTAGTAGCAAGAATTCACCGTTATGGAATGAAAATTAAACAGAATATAGTGCTCTTAAAATTAATAAAAAATAGTAATAAAAGGACATTTATTTGCTAACAAGTTGAGAACAAAAGAACAACAAGCATATTCACATGCAGGGATTGTGCCACCCTGGCATATTATATTTGGAGGTATTAAAAGATCCTAAAATATTTAAGTGCATTTCTTTTATTTAATTTACTGATACATTTTGAAATACTGCACTATATTCAATTTCCTGTCCTCTTGTTTTCCATATTGTTCCACTTTGATCCTGAAGACCTGAACTAAAAACACCCTTAAAACACTGCTTCCCTGAACCCCTCCATATAATAGTGTATACATGATTGGCGAGGTGTATGGCTTAATAGCCACCCATTAGTGTGGGAATTCCTTGGGAGATCCACAGGTACCCAGCCCAAAAATTCCGATATTTTATCTTGTTTGTGTGCCTCGAAGGCTGGGATGGGAATCACTGAACTACACATTAACAAGCACAATATGATGATAGAGATAACTGGGTTAAATAAGATCTAAAAGTACTAACAGACTACTTCTATACACTACTAAAATAAAATACAGACCTTGACACAGAATGTGTCTCTCTACCTGGGGTTCCACGGAAATACTCCCTCAGTGTGAATGAACTAACCTCTGCTATATTTGTACAATTCAAGCAGCACCCAAAAAGGTTCTACAATGTCATACTGAGAAAAAATATATATATAAATAATAAAATAAAAAAATAATATATATATATATATATATATATATATATATTAATTAATCATTGCAATAAAATTATTTTTCAGGCAGTAAGCCAGGGACCTACAAACTGGGAACAACAATAAATGTAAAATACAGTGAATGTCAAAGTCCCCGTGCCTCAGGGACCACAGTCATAATAACCACATTCTCATGTTCAAGTAGAAACGACAATTTGGTTAACAATGCTCTAAACAAACTTCTACTGCATGACATCATGGCTCAAATGGATTGTCCCCGGGGAAGATTTTTGGTTTCTTTTTAAAGCTGAAAGCTCGCACTTCAAGCTAAAGCTGTTCTAACACATTATGCTTAAACATGCCGATGTATTAGCAGGACGAGACAAAGAGAAAGTCTGAAGACATTTCACCACCTACATTATCATGATTATGCAGTTACTCCCATCATACCAGATTGCGATCTTCACTCTTTACACAGAATACACGATTGACTAATCAGCTAAAATTACAAAATGCCATCTCACCACTGCAGGAATAAATTTAAATTCGATTTGCATTTTTTTTTAAAGATATTGCTATGGTCGCAATATCTTAGCAAATAATTATATATGGTCTTATCACACGTATGGTTATTTACATCACCAATGCCACGTAAAGACACTTTGCGCCATGACCACTACAATGAGCTTAAGTAGTTACGGCACTGTATTAATAAAATATTGTGAATTAAAAAGAAATTCACTTTTAATTAACTGTTATTTCCAAAGTAATGAGTAACCCTAAATGTATCACTGCAAAATGTGTGCATACTTTTCATACTCATACACTAATTGAGGGTCTGGGGAGAGTAAAGCACAGTATCTCTAACCTTCTCTCTTCAGCCCTTCACCTAATATGTTATTAATGAGACACAAAGCACCATAAGAACTACAGCACACTGAAATTGTTATGGTGACAAAAGAACTGTCAGACTGTTCAAGAAAAGTTTGATACCTACCAGTCTCTTTCGGGAGGCCTCGGTACTTCCAGTCTAAGCTGGTGTGGTAAAGCAGGAGTACATACTTCTATATCATACTAAGTTGGTACATTATTCCGTAGCTGTGGATGGACAAACTTTTACTTTACCATACTAGGTCAAACTGCAATGGCCATGTAAAAACAGAGACAGGGCCAGTCAAGTTCTTCCACACCAAACTCATCCAACCATGTCTTTATGGACCTTGCTTTGTGCACTGTGGCACATTCATGTTGGAATAGAAAATGGCCTTCTGCAAACTGTTCCCACAAAGATGGAAGTATAGCATTGATCAAAATGTCTTGGTATGCTGAAGCATTAAAATTAGCTTTCACTGGAAGTAAGGGGCCTAGCCCAACCCCTGAAAAACAGCCCTATACCATTATCCCTCCTCCACCACTTGCCACAAAGAAGTCAGGCAGATAACCATCTCCTGGCATCAGTCAAACCCAGACTCACCCATCAGACTGCCAAACAGAGAAGCGTGATTCATCAATCTACAGAACACGTTTCCACTGCTCAAAAATCCAGTGGCGGCTTGCTTTACACCACTCCATCTGACACTTGGCATTCAGCACTCAGTGATCCCACCCTGTGACTTTAAATGGTCTTCTGCTTTGTGGCAAAGTTGCTACTGTTCCTAAACGCTACCACTTTCCAATAATACCACATTTGACCACATTTTACCATGGAATATATAGCAGGGATCACATTTCACAAACTGACTTATTACAAAGGTCACAGTACCATGCTTGGATTCACTGAGCTCTTCAGAATGACCCATTTTTTTTTTTACATATCTTTGTAAATACAGACGCATGGCTGGGTGCTTGATTTTATACACCTGTCTTTAAAGGGGGCATGTCACCCAAAAAGAGTGCGTACACCAGGTTGACTGGAATTTGCACTGGTACACCCACACATACACATGAGTAATTTTTTGCTTTTTTTTTTTTTTTTTCGTGAGCGAGTTCATAGAAGCGGTAGGTGGATTGTGCTAACTGATGCAAGATGCTTTATGGGTTGTTTTTTTAAACAAAAATATAAAGATATTTTTGCATGATGAAGTGCCCCTTTAACAGCTAATTATTATTGCCTATCGGGCAGTCTGAACTGTTGGGGGGGGGTCTTGGTCTCTGACCAAGGACCCAACACAGGAGGGGGCCTGGTGGCTTGCTGGGGGAGAGCCAGCCTCAGTCTACAGCCCTGGCAAACCCTCCCTCTCACCCTAATACTCCACTTATACTATGTCACCCCTCTCTCACTGTGTCACCCCATCACCCCCTCTTACTTTGTCACCCCACTCTCAACCTGTCACCGCCCTGTCACTCCCCACACACTATGTCACCCCCCTCTCACCTCCTCTTACTTTGTCACCCCCTCTCACCCTGTCACCCCCCTGTCACTCAACCACACACTATGTCACCCCCCTCTCAACTTGTCACCCCACCTCACACGGTCATCCCTCTCTCAACCTGTCACCCCCCTAACACTATGTCACCCCCTTATTACCCTGTAACCCCCTCACACTACGTCACCACCTCTTATTCTGTCACCTCCCTCTCACTCTGTCAACTACTTACACAATGTCATCCTCCCTCTCTGTCACTCTCCCCTCTCACAGTAGGTCACCCCCTTTCACTCTGTCACCCCCCTCACACTGGCACCCCTTCCATGCACATTGTCACCCCCCCTCCATACACACTGTTACTCCCTCCAAACACACAGGCACCACTCTCCACACTCTGGCACCTCCCTTCATACACACTGTCAACCCTCAACACTCTGGCACCCTCCTGCTCTTTTACACTCACCCTGCCACAGTTACCCCTTTACTCACCCTGTCACCCCCTGAAGGCAATCATTATACACACTGTCATAAAACATAGCTTTGCCATAAACTCAGTGCCAAAGGCCACAGGAAGTACACAAACATACACATGCTCAGAGAAACATACATACATACATACATATACAAAGATACTCACTGCCAGACACACATTCTCAGGCACACTCAGGTAGACAATGCAACAATGTATACAGAGACTAGCTCTCTAGATCCAGTGCTGCAGGCTCCCCCTTCAATATACCTACAGCTTCTTATACACACACACTTCTTATAGTCAACTGCTATTTTTTTTTCAATAATGGTGTTAGTGGGGGCCTCATGTATGAGTTTCGCCTAAGGCCTCGCCAAGTCTAGAGCCGCCACTGCCGGACGACTACACTGACTGCTGTATGCTGGCTGCCGGCTCCTGCCCACCCCTCCCTGGCCTAAGGTAAGACTCAGGGAGACGGGAAAACACTTTAGTTTTTGGGGGGGTTTATTATTCCTTTCCTCAGCCCGATCCCCTTTCTCAGCCCCTGTGCCCTCCCTCTCAGCTCCTGCCTTCCCCTCCCAGCTCCTGTCCTCCCCCCATGCTCTCCCTACCTAACCACAGCCCCCATAACATACCCACTACAGCTCCTCTTCCCCCAATTTTATTTTTTTTGTGTGTGTGAGTGTGTGTTGGGCTGTATTTTCCCCTTCCAGGCCTAAGGCTGCCAGCCCTCCCCTGCTGTCTATGCCTTTTTTATTTGGAACTTAAATCCATAGAAATTACTTTCTCATGGCAGGTTGTTTTTTGGGGGTTTTTTTAGGCCTGCAGGGGTACTTCTCCGTAAAAGGCTGAGAAACAGATAATAGCTTGATGGATGGTCACAACAGGTTTAACCTTTTTTTTTTTTTTCTGGGGTTATCAAACTCTCAATCTCTAAAACTGGTTTCTAAAGTTTTATCTATAACTTTTACCTTGGACTTAAAAAACGGCTAGTCTCCAAGCATTATAATGACTTGGGAAGTAATTACAACTAAGCCGTCTAGCTGAGCAGGGTATTTTGAAATAGAACGTAGAACACACCCGGGGTGGTGGGCATTCCAATTGTGCTTTTTGTCTCAGGGCCTTTTCAACAGTGTTACACCGCTCCTTGGTTTTAACATGTAATCATAACATTGTATTCAGTGACAATTACTTCACCTCCTGTGGTTAGCCGTCGATTGGCTTCCTTTGTGATGTGTGCTGACTCCTTCATAAGTCAACCTCTGACTAGATACTAAAAACATACTACCTAAGTGCCCCTATTTAGGAGTTACAGTGCCTATTTTCATCCCAAATCCCTCTGTCCCTCTTTTCTAGGAACTCCATATTGTTGGTGAGCCTGAGTGTATAACAGAGCTCCACGGCAATGTGTCTTTAAATAAAAAGAATAAAAATAAGTGTACAGATCAGTCTGTGGAAATAAGATACATTGTTCTTGTTCGAAATTACAAATGAAAATGTCCCTATTTTGTCCATTTGAAATGTTGTGTGGTATGGCAGAGATCTCTTGTTTCTACCTAAAAAATGTCCAAGATTTCCAAGTCTAGGCCTAACCTTCAAAATGGATCCCTGTCCTAGAATCCTGCTGTGCTAGTATGTATCCCACATTTTGTAGTAGTCTTTTACAAGGGTTTGATAATGCATGTATTGCCACATATATGGTAATTGTTCTCAAATGTTTGTTTCTTATTTGTAAACGCTTATTGCATTTAACCCCTTAAGAACCAAACTTCTGGAATAAAAGGGAATCATGACATGCACATCATATATACATCATCGTTTTCAACAAAATTCAACTTTCATTAAAAGTAAAAGTAAAAAACAGTTGACCGTTAACTACTAGAGTTTTGTTTTTCATTTTAAGTACCATAATCACTGCTGCTTACTGTGGTGCATACTGTTTAATGAGTATTTGGGTGCGGCCCATCACATTTTCTGTCAAACCTTTTTGACTGGTTTGACAAAAACTGTGATTTCCCCTATACCCAAAGCCTGGCCCTTGCCTGTCAATGGAAATTTCACTTTTACTAGATAACATTTCCCATACAAAGCCATGCAACCCTGAATGGAATGCCACCCACAAACCCACCCCCCATGGCTCACAGTCCATCTATAGCGCTTAGAGGATATAAAGTGTCTCAAATAAGATACCTTATTTGAATGGCTGCAGTGGGGCCAGGCTTTAGATATTAGGAGATACGCTATTTTAATAATCTGGTAGAAAAAAGTAAGCAGCAGTAGTTTTGGTGCTAACATTGTCTCTTAATATCTTCTTGTGCTTTTTCCTACACTGGTGTTTCTCTTTTCTACAAGCTAGGATTATTTGCTGTATATGATTGTCTGTCATATGTCTACGAAGCTCAAAGTAGTATTTATGGTGCTTGGAGTGTTACTTTAAAGAAATTAAGTTGTTATGGTGTGAGGCGGTCCTGGTCACTGGCTTACCTCAAAGGGTCAAACCGTTAATGAGCTGTTGAATCCCAAAGTCTTCCCACGGGACCTCCTCACACCGAAACAACTTCATGTGGTGTTAAGAGGGTTACCTTTATGTCTTTCTGGGTCATTCGTTAAAGTGTAAATTGTCTGAAATGATTTTAGAATTTTAAGCCAAACTAGTCAAACTGAAAACATCATAGCTGGAGAATATTTTTTTCCTAAATATTGAAATTCACAGCAATTCACTCTGAACTGAATGTCATACAATATACCTACCATTTCTCTAAAGAAAAACTACCAACACCATAAAGACTGCAAGAGAAGACCAGAGGCAGCATGGGTACCTGGGGGACGCATGTAAGTTGTCAAACCATTGAAAAACTATGTGACTACTTACCGTGGGACAGTTCAAGGGCACTCCTGGCACCATAACGAACGGGTTGTAGTAATTGTTTTGCTTGGAGTGTACCTTTAAATGTAACTAACCCCCATCTATCTGTTGGGTTTATTTTCATTGTAACATGAACTGCAGAGGTGCCTCGACATAGACAAAACAATGGGAACCAGGTTATTTCACCAAAAGCTGATGAATCACCGGGCGCTAAAGAAAGAAAATGGTGGTGCCTGTGATCTTCAGGTAAGTATAGTTCCCATTAGCTTCACCCCTGGGCTACTGCACACCAAGAAGGTTATGTAACCGCCTATATGCCAGGTAAAGGGGGCACATGCCACTCAGACAAAGTTAGTCACTAAACCAGAAATTCATTAGAGAACTCTAAACTAAAATAGCGGAATTGAAAAGTTTCTCTAGCGCAGCTATATTTCCAGCCAAGTTATTTTGGACTTGAAGGGTTACTCCAAACGCCATAACCACTTCAGGGATTTGAAGTTGCCATGGTGCCTGGAGTCTATATGTGCACCATTCTGTTGTGAAACCTAGTTTAACCTCTCTGCTGCCAGAGGTGTAACTTCACCTTCATTGGTGTGTCTTTAGTCAGTCCGTGACTAGAGTTCTGGGCTGGCCAATCTCAATTCTGTGCATATTCCTACAGACAAAATTGGTTTACAGCGGTCAGCTGACACTCTCAGCCAATGAATGGTGACAGCATCGGCATCCAGCTTCTGCAGAAGTGGAAGTCATCACTGTCTACAGAGTAGACCAGGAGCACAGCAAGGACCCAGGTACGAGGGCAAACTCTTGTAAAACAGGCCCAGGCTACTTCTTGTATTGTAACTACTAGGGATCGACCGATTATCGGTCTGGCCGATATTATCGGCCGATATTCTGTATTTTCAGCAATATCGGCATTGGCCAATAAAGATACTGATATTGCCGATAATGCAGACCAGGGCCGCTATCAGGGTCCTGGGGGGCCCAGCACACTCTTACTTACCATCCCAGCAGCTCCCTTCAGCTCTTCTGTCTAACTCCCACGAGTCCCGCAGCCATCAGAGCGTTGCCACGGGTTATACAGAGCGCGGCACACAGGCCACGAGAGTTAGACAGGGGAGCTGATGGGAGCTGCTGGGATGGAAAGTAGGAGTGTGCTGGGCCCCCTCCGTACAGTCCATGCCACTGGACCACCAGGGAATGCCATATCCCCCTCCCTGGCCAGGTAAGAAGGAACTAAAACATAATTTACAAAATTTAAATTCTTTTTTTTTTTTTTTAAAGTTAAAAAAAATAAAAATACCACCTTCTCCCCATTTTACACACTCTGCATTCAATATATACACACAGTAAACAAACACTCACGGCACAAACACACACACTGCATTCACTATACACACACACTACACAAACATACACTATGTACACACTACATTCACTATACACACACTCTGCATTCATTAAATACACATTACACAAACACACACACACACACACACACACACACACACACTGCATCCACTATACACACACTACAAAAAACACACGCACGCTGCATTCACTATACACACACTACACAAACACACGCTGCATTCACTATACACACACTACACAAACACACACTGCATTCACTATACACACACTACACAAACTGCATTCACTATACACACACACTACACAAACACACACTCTGCATCCACTACACAAACATACACTGCATTCACTAATCAAATACTCTCACTGCATCCACTACACACACACACACACTGCATTCACTAATCAAATACTCTCACTGCATCCACTACACACACACACACACACACTGCATTCACTAATCAAATACTCTCACTGCATCCACTACACACACACGGTAAGTTATCAGCTATCGGACTGAAAATTCACAGATTATCGGTATCGGCTCTAAAAAAAAAAAAAAAAATCAATATCAGTCGATCCCTAGTAACCACTACAGCGCACTTGGAGCAATCCCATGGTAAATTCTAGATTTTCCACAATGTCTGTTTTAGTGAATAATTTTATAGTTTCCACCTTTCTCTTGCCTATGTGTACCTCGTAGCACTATATAATTATCCACCGGGACACAAGAGAATAACTGGAATAAAAGGGCATAAAAGTCTTGAGAGAAAGCCAAGAGTACAAGGGATATTGAATAGGACATATATACTGCTTTTCATTGTCTAATGCAAAAAGAATGTGAACTTAAAAAAAAAAAAATATATAGATGATGATTTCTACAGAATATGGCTCAGATTGCTGCAGTAAAAATAAGCCAGGAACTCCACATTTCATGTAAATTTGGAAAAGTGAAAAAATACATTATCAGTTACAAAACGATTTTATTTAAAACTCAATTTTACTGAGATTTCTTTTTCCCCATTTCACACCAAAAATAAAAAACACTGGCTTAGTAGATATTTTAAGATCACAGAATATATGAAAAAAAAAAAATTAAGTATAATTTTGAATTGAATTTGTATTTCATAAACTACTCCACAATGTGATAAAATTTTCACCGCCCATTGTACTGGCTTGTTGCTGAGGTTTATTTACCGACAAACAACTTTACAAGTAACTAGCACAGATCAACACGTTTCTTAAATCTGCTCTCTTGGCTTGGGTTAGGAGATTGTTAAAACACTCTTTTGAGAATAAATCCCTTTGTCACATTCAGTCTTTGAAAGCGGTTTTATTCCAGTATTAAGCACTGCATTAAATGGCAGATAATATCAGATATGATTTTCAAATTAATAATTTGTCACCGATACTTGCAGAGATTAATTGCAAATTGTGCAATACTTTGCAATATATTAGCACTACAAAATTAATATTGAAAAAAATATATATATTCTCCTTTAGTGGCTTATCCACTAAATTGGGAATTGTGGAAAATCGACTAAGAATTGAACATTTTAAATCCAAACTGTAGAATGATTCCAAAATAATTATCCAACTCCATATATTTTTTAAACCTTGGCTCGTACGATCTAAAATGAGGTGAAATGGCAAATCCTGGTTTAGAGAGTAAGCCCTTTAAAAAAAAAAAAAAAATTATATATATATATATATATATATATATATATATATATATATATATATATATATATATATATTTTATTTAGGTGAGTCAATCTTCAGCCATCAATTACAAACAATGCACTTTTTTTAACCTTTATTCTTTAAACTGTGAATCGCAGGGAGCAGAGATGCAAATGGCAACATTTAGGATTCTATTTAAAAGAAAAATCTCCAATTCAGCTACAGTCACAGCTTGGCTAGTTTAGCTTAATCGTGCCATTAGATTTTCAATTCACTACAATTCACAGTTTAGTAAATCGACCAGTCTGGATGCCTTTCACATGCATGTAAGCAGTAAAAAAAGACTGAGATGCCTATTAAGTTCAGAGCAAGTCTGCACCTGATTTACTTGCGTAGCTATGACAAACAGTGACATACCAAGAGACAGTAGCAGAGGGACACACAGGGCTGTCACTGCTGGCTGGAGTCTCTGTGATGTCTAGGGACTTACCTGGTCTTTCTGTATGTTGGTGGCCATTGTTCCACTGGGTCAGGACTTCAGTTTGGGTGGCCAGGCTGCATCCAGAGCAGGACTGTTCCCTGGCTGCTTGTGCTGGGAAGTTAAGGAAGTTGAAATCCCAGACAGCAGAGACGGTGTAAGCTTACATTGTACAATACACCCCTCCCATGTCCCCACCCTTTCCTCTCCTGCACTACAAACACCTGCACAGAACCTGCTCGGCAAGATGTGTGAACCTGGGCTTGCTGTTTTGTTATAGTGAGCAAAAAGTATCATGAACCTTCTAGTGCAGGGGTAGGCAAGTTTTGGACTGCAGCTCCCAATATGCTTTGCCAGCATCATAGCTATAAGAGCATTATGGGAGATGTAGTCCATATGGTGTGCCAACGGTGGGCTATCCCTGTTTCACTAGATTACAGGGATAGGCAACCTTCGGCACTCCAGATGTTGTGGACTATATCACTCATAATGCTCTTACAGCCATAATGCTGGCAAAGTATCATGGGAGGTGTAGTCCAAAACATCTGCAGTGCCGAAGGTTGCCTATCCCTATTCTAGTGAAATAGGGATAGCCGACCGTTGGCACTCGATATGGACTACATCTCCCATAATGCTCTTATAGCGATGATGCTGGCAAAAGCATATTGGGAGATGCAGTCCAAAACATCTGGAGTGCCGAAGGTTGACTACCCCACTCCAGTTAGTCCAAGGGTGGCCTAAACGTAGAGCCCCCAAACGTAAGGCTGGCAAAGCATCATGACAGTTGGAGTTTTACAACAGCTGGCCTTTTGGCCACTCCAGCCGTAGTGCAGATGAGTCTAGGCGACAGGAGATAAGAAAAATAAATGCAGGCATTACGTTGCAGTGTAAGGTAATAGATGAACGCAGAGACTACACATATTATTGCTCATTTTTATACAGTTATTGAGGGAGGTTAGCCCAATATATTAAGTAAATGGGGTAGTTCAGTAGTCAAAGGTGTTATAAGGAGCCTGGTAGATGGGGGTAAAGATAGGGTTGCCAGATTTATTTATTTTATTATAATTTGTTCTTGTTTTTAACAAGTGACATTTATAAAGGGTGTAGCTCTGACTGTAACTCACCCTTACAGAGGAGTATTTATCAAAGTGACAATTCAAAGCGAATTTCTGATTTAAGGTCAGAGTAACTGAATGTAAAGCATAGCTGGTTTAGATCATTTTTGCAGTTCAGCTATTTTGAACTTAAATTTGAAATTCACTTTGAATTCACCTTAATTCTCCCTAATACGGACACTGCATTTTATCTCCATGGAAGGAAACTCCAACCACCATAACCTCTAGATCTTACGTGAACAACTGGCGCTCTCAGCCATTGCGCTAAGCCCTACACTACTCTCTGGAGACAGTAGTTAACGAAAACAGCAGAGCCCAGCAGACCCCTGGCGAGATGGGGTAGGGGGCACAAGCCAGCGGCGTACATACCGCGGTCACAGGGGTCGAAGCTGCGACTGGGCCCTTCACTCCGGGGGGCCTGGCCGCCCTGCGGACCCCTGCGACCGGGTGCCCGCTGCCATGTGTTGCGGCCCCGGCCGTGCACTATAATTGCCGGTGCCACAGGTGAACGTGCTGTACATGCTATTAGGGCCACCCAATGGAAATTAATATCATCATCAGAGTGGGCCCAGTAATAGTGTACGCCACTGGCACAAGCTGTCGTGGTTGTAGGGGGTAGACTAGGGAAAAAAGGAGTAGAGCGCAGCGAAGGAAGCTATAATCTTCATAATTCCCGGCATCATTTAACAGCTCCCCAGGGAAAGGGGTTAAATGCAGCAAGATTGCGAACTTGAAGAAAATGTATGGATGATTTCTGCAGAATATGACTCCGATTGCTACAGTAAAAATAAGCCAGGAAAGCCACATTTCCTGGAAATTTAGAAAAGTTAAAAAATGACATTATCAGTGACAAAACTATTTTGTTTAAAACACACTTTTACTGAGATCTTTTTCCACATATTAAAAAAAAAAAAATACTGGCTTAGCAGATAATTTAGCATTTTAGCTCACTGAATAAATTAATACAAAACAAAAAAGTAGAATTTTGAATTTAATTTGTATTTCATAAACTACTCCATTATTATGATAACATCTTCACCGCCCATTGTACTGGCATGTTGCTGGGGCTTATTTACTAACCAACAACGTTACAAGTAACTCTGCACAGTTGAAATTTCTTCCAAATCTGCTCTATTGGCTTTTGAGAATAAATCCCTCTCTCACAGTCAGTCTTTAAAAGCTGTTTTATTCCAGTATTAAGCACTGCATAAAATATCAGATATAATTATCAAATCGTTAATTTGACATTGTTACTTGCAGGGATTAATTACCCATCGTGCAATACTTTTGCAATATATTGGCACTACACAATATACTGGAGAACATAAATAATAATAATTTTGAAAAATAATAATTTGTGAGTGTGTGTCAGTGAATGTATGTGTGTGTCAGTAAGTGTGTCTGTCAGTGTGTGTGAAATCAGTGACGGTGTGTTAAGCAGTGATTATGTGAGTGTGTCAGTGTCATCTGTGTGTAAATTTGTGTGTACAAATGTGTGTGTGTCGGGGCGGGTCTAGGCGGCCAAGCAGGCTGGATGCAGCATAACTAAGCTCCTCGACAGAAAGCCGATGTACTATGCTATTAGGGGCTAGATTGAGCACTTCTAATCTTTAACTAGCCTGGTACACTTTGGCATTAACCCGTACTAAGTGCCTTTGGGAAAGCTTAAAGTGTGGTGGGGCACATTCACTTGCGGCCTTCTAGTAGAAACGGGGCAGAGGACGCAGCCAATTCTCTTTGTGCAGCCTGGGCATTTTGCAGGGGCTTATTTTCCCCCCTTTGGGCCTGTTGGGGTTATGCTGGCCCCAACTGGTATCACATACCTGTGATATTGCCAACAGGGTCTGCACCCCTCACACCATATGAATCACGAGGCTTGGGCGCAACATGGCGACTGATTCAGCTATATAGCGTCATCCTATCTGGACACCCACTGTTATAAAGGCCTTTAAAGATCTCTAAGACAGATTCTGTCCAAACCTGAGACAGTGAGATTGGCGAACCACTCAAGAGTGCACTGGCAGCAACACAGTTAGCACCGTACCATCCGACAACGGCACTAAACAAAATGGTGACGCATTGGCATTCCAACGGCCCACTACATGATTCCACTCACCTGGGCCGCGGACCTATGGGGGAGATCCCCCTCCACAGAATTCACACCCAGGGAGAACCCTTCGCCTATGGCATTGTTTGGAGGATCAATGGGGTGTCCAGATCAGTGTGTTGGCCTGCCTGAGAGTCTAGGGCTGGTGGAGCTGCATCTTTATCTGGATTCCTGATGTGCCAGAGACTGGTGTGGGCTGACAGGTGGCCATCTCTGGACAATTCTGAGCTAGATCACAAGCTCATTTCAGCAATAATACTTAACCATATTTCATGTTAAGCTTTCAAATATATGGTATCCTATCAAAATTGTGAAATGTAACCCAGTGACTACTTTAATTTTACAAAATTGTGCTGATACTTGCCAATGCCATGTGTATGTTTTCCACTGTCTGATTTAACTGTGCTTGCTATAACTCTTGTGGCACTGCAGGTGTTTCTGTAGTTTTCTGCACAGCAAAAATAAAGAATTAAAAAAGATTTTTAAAAAATGTGTGTTTGTGTATGTGTCCGTGTCCTCTGTGTGTCGTCTGTGTGTAAATGTGTTCCAGTGTCCTGTGTGTGTATTTGTGTCAGTGTCCTCTGTGTAAATGTGTGTGTGTCAGTGTCCTCTTTGTGTAACTGTGTGTGTGTCAGTGTCCTCTGTGTGTAACTGTGTGTGTATTAGTTTCCTCTGTGTGTAAATGTGTGTGTCAGTTTCATCTGTGTGTAAATGTGTGTGTTTTAGTGCTCTCTCTGTGTAAATGTATGTTTCAGTGCCCTCTGTGTGTAACTATTATGTGTGTTTTGTATTTTCATTCTTTCATTTCACTTTTATTCAGATTAATAGTTCATACACTCCTCCTCACATAGACAATATTCATTATGTCATATTTATTTTAAAGATATTCTTTACTACCTTTCATCAGACTTGTTCTCCAGTATTATTTACTTAAAATTATACTATAGTCACCAAAACAACTTTAGCTTCATGAAGCAGTTTTGGTGTATATATCACGTCCCTGCAGTCTCACTGCTCAATTCTGTGACATTTAGAAGTTAAATCACGTTTGTTTCTGTCCATGCAGCCCTAACCACACCTCCCCTGACTGTGAATGACATAGCATGCGTTAAAATAGTGGTTTCATTTTCAATTAGATTTTAACTTACTTTAGAATTTTTGTATCTACTGCTCTGTGAATTGAACTTTAAAGCGGCACTGTCATGGCCGAATCCCGTTTTTTTTTAACCCCCCTCCCGACTCTACTACATGTAATTGTCCCCCAAATGCCCCTAAGCCCCCCATCTTACCTATTTTTGCATCTTTATTTCGTGCCCAGACCTAAGTCCTGGACGCCGCCATCTTTGTGTGGGTAAATGAAGTCCCTGTGGGACAAGTCATCTGCCCACACTAGATAGTGCTGTGAAATTCCTGCGCATGCCCAGCTAAATACTTGGGCATGCGAACGGTAATTTCATCTATTCATTAATTCGTCAGAGAGCCGAAAAAATGAATAGAAATTTCAAACTAATGACCCCTACGTTCGTTTGGTTTATTACAAGGAGGGAGCTACTGGCGCACAGCTCCCTCCTTGTAAAATGTAAAAATAGAAACGGCAGGGAGCGGTGCTCCCCGCCACTTTCTAAGCCCCCCATGTCTTCCCTCACTCTATGAGGGTCAATATAACCCCCTAATATTATAAGGGAGATTAAAATCTTCCGAACGCCCCTACTCTCTATGCCGCGAGTAGGGACATGTCTACTAAACAGTGAGTGCCAGTAGCTGCACACTGTTTAAACCCCCGTCCCCCCTTCTAACAAATGGCCCCATGGTGGAGC